GAGCATATAATTTTCTTGACATTAGCTGGAAATGTCTCTTAACCATCTTAACCTAAACGAGTTTGAGGTCAAAGTCCTTCGAGTGTATAAACGTTCGAATAATATGTTCCTTTTAATTTTTTTTTGAATTGAATAATATTTTTGTGTTTATTATCTAATTTGTAATTAAGTTAAAGCAATAGCAGTATGTTAATGAAGAAGTTCATAACATTTGAAACTAATGATTAATCATGTTGCCCAACTTTAACGTGTGGAATATCTGCATTTAACGTGTTTCTTGACAAAGATTTAGTTGAAGTTATTGCTTTTAAATAAATATAAAGTAACTCATTTAATTGTGTATTGTTCTGTGTAAAGGGTTTAATTCAATAGAGAAGCCTAACTGAAGTCTAATTGAAATAGACAACGTCAATTTTTCATGTTAAGCAAGGATACAATCTTTTTGGCAGGTGACAGATGATGATTAAAGGGTCAACAGATCTTTTAAAGAGTTAAGTTTTCATTAACCAAATGCATTGGGAAAGAACTTTGCTAAGCCGAGTGTTTTGTTTTAATTGAAGTTTAACCTTAGCAGCCAACAAGTCAAGTCGAATTTTCCGGATGAGTGTGTTCAAAGCATTGCTCCCTTATTGTACCTTTGCCAAATGGTTAGGTTGGATACCATTTCGCTTCAAGGAAACGGAGGACAATACCATCGTCATGGAGGAGACCTGTGTCACAAGTTCCCGCTGGAAGTGGTTAATGTTGATCTTCAGACTTGCGCTCCTCTGTACTAATCTTTATCTGCACACTAATTGGTTGATGAAAAAGGATAGAATAGCCAAAATGCTACACTGTGCATTGATTGTACTTATGGTTCTTTGCTACCTAACAATGATTTACATCCAGATTTTTCGTGGCAAGGACTTGATAATGCTGGTCAATCGCTATCTTCGAATATTAAGACGAGTGAGATCCCTGTCTATCAGAAAGCGAAAAGGATTCGCAGAAGGACGAGAGCTGCTGCTGATTCTTGTTCTCTTTGGATGTCAGGTCATGGAAATCGTATTTCCCCTTGCATTATCGACTTGGTCCCCTAACACTATCATTCATAATCTTGTGACCTGGGCCAGCTTTACTTATATCAATATGGCCTGCAATCTGATCATTCGTATCTGCTTTCTGTTTTACCTTAGCTTGGGCGTTGTTTATTTAGAGCTCAACAATATTATTTGTTTTGAAACGCGAATTCATGTAGAAGCCCTCACACTAAACAAAATAATACTAGTACATTCCCCAAATCGAAAGAAAAACATTACCCGCCGATTGAGGAAAATAATGAATATTGTCAGGGAGATATCTTATATTGTCAGTTCTCTGCAAAACATGTTTAACTTTCACCTTTTTTTGAGCTTGTGGTACACACTTTATTATATAGTCGTAATGTCCTACAAAATGGTAATAGATTTGAATTTTTCTTACAAAAGTTTGTGGATGATTTTTATAAAAAGTTTACTCGATGTCCTTATCTTATGTTTGGCTGTTCAAGGTTCAGTCAATCAATTCACAAATATTCGGGAATTAAGTCTTGAAATGTTCTTTGTGGACGAGCTTAAAAATTGGGAAAAATCGGTGAGTGGATTTCTTTGTTTTTAAGATATTGGTAATGTCTTTATTTTGATTTTAGGTGGAAGTGTTTCTATCCCACTTAAGACTGAACGAGTTTGAGGTCCGAATCATGGGAAGCTTTAACATTTCCAATAAACTGTTCCTTTTCATTTTTTCTGCCATAAGTAGCTTTATTTTGTTTATTATTCAGTGTGTAATACAATTTAGGCAACAGTAGTATCTATTTTTGAAGTTTGAAACATCTTATACTAATGATTGAACACGTTGTAAAATTTTTGATACAGATGAATCTGAATGTCGTGTTGTCCTTATGTACTCAAAATTTTTAATAAAATTGTATTTATACTAGCAAACCCCGGCAAACGTTGTTTTGCCACCAGATGACTTTATAATTTCTGTGCAAAATTTACTAAGTTCTAGATTTATGTAGAAAGCATGAATTAAATGTTTGAATTGACTTCAGGAACACGTTAGAATCTGGATCCGTGCCGATAAGTAAGCCGTTCAATGGTTCAGGTGGTGTTTCAATTTCTGGTAGTTGCACTTTTCCTGACGCGCACCACATTCCAGCTGGCTCATTTTAAAATTTCAGAGCATGACATTGCGGACTTTCCTTGTCCATAGCACCAATTACCACTTTTGAGTGAGCATATTACTCTATATCGGGCTCATACTGGAATGCTAGACGCAGTAATGAATTATATAAAAATGCTCGATGTACCGGTTGTCGTTGATGGTCATTTGTTCTGCCTCTATTGACTGTGACACGGCGTGGTTGTCGTTGTTCTAACCTTCTGACTTCATTGCGTTCAGCTCGTGTATCTTCTGGCTCTTCTTGATGCAATTGCGCTATTCTTTCGGATCTTCTATTTCGCATGTATCGAGATCTACTTGTATCACGGCACAAAGTACCCGCTTTGCGTTTTCTTGGCATAGCTCACTGGACAAAACACTCATAAGTAGAATTCATGATTTTACTAAATGATGAAGGATTTTTGCCCCAGTTTAAATTGATTTAAAATGCTATGGTAGCGTGTTTTTGTCAGTGTGATGAGGTAGAAACTCACTTCATATGCGATTTTTGGTATGTCGAACACGATTTAAGAGGATGAAAAATAGACGTTGGGTAATTGTCAGACTTACTCAATACGCTCACAAAATTTCATGAGAATCGGTATAGCCGTTTCGGAGGAGTAAGGTCACAAAAACTGTGACACGAGAATTTTATATATTAGAAGATATTTCGAATTCATTTAAATCAAAACTAAAGGCCAAACGGATTTGCCTTCTTTTCATTGAAAAATACGAAAGATAACTCTTTGGTCCTGGAGGAATCGTCTTTTATCTATTTTAGACTTTACATATGTACATATAGTATAATTCAATGGGCATGTTTGTTGTGGTACCTTAGTACGCCGAGTTGCGAATATTTTTGTGCAGAGAGTTAAGATTAAACCTGGTATGTGTAACAAAATCAATGGGCGAAGATATTCCCCTTTGTATGGTTAAAAATCAATCTGCAAATGAGTTCAGGAACATTTATGAAATCACTTGAGGCTTTTCTTTGCCAGCGATCAGAAAGATTGAATATACATATATGTATGTAACACATAATGTCTTATATATTACAGCTAATATCCTTTTTATTAAGGAGAAAATACTCGTCACACATCTAAACCTAAATGTTTTTTGGGTTCATTCTAACGAGGCTTGTCTTGTAATTGTAGTAACAATAGTTGACTTCTACATCTATTTCGTTCAAGTTGTTATTAGGCGACGAAATACAATGCAACTCTAGGTGGTTTTTTCTAAAATTACTCATTTTTCTTATTAGCACAGATATCATAATTTTGACAAATGATCGATGACCACAGATATTTTCAATAGTTAAGTTTTCATTATCCAAATGCATGGGGAAAGAACTAAGCCGAGTGTTTTGTTTTAATTGAAGTTTTACCTTAGCAGCAAACAAGTCAAGTCGAATTTTTCGGATGAGTGTGTTTAAAGCATTGCTCCCTTATTTTACCTTTGCTAAATGGTTAGGTTTGATATCATTTCGCTTAAGGAAAGCGGAGGACAATACCATCATCATGGAGGAGACCTGTGTCACTAGTTCCCGTTGGAAGTGGTTCGCGTTGATCCTGAGACTTGTGCCCCTTTGTGTCGATGTGTATATACACGTTTCGTGGTTTTCGGCCTTGGAAAGAATCGCCATAATACTGCACAGTTTTCGGATTTTACTTACGACTCCTTGCTACCTAACAATGATTTATATCCAGATGTTTCGTGGCAAAGACTTGATAATGCTGGTCAATCGCTATCTTAGACTATTCAGACGAGTGAGATCCCTGCCTATCAGAAAGCGAAAAGGATTCGCAGAAGGACGAGAGCTGCTGCTGATTCTTGTTTCCTTAGGATGTCACATCATAGAAACCGTATTTATCATTGGATTGATGACTTGGCCTCCCAACCTAAACACAATTACTAATAATTTCGTCATCTGGGCCAGCTTTACGTATGTCAGTCTGACCTGCAATCTGTCAGTTCGTGTCAGCTTTGTTTTCTATCTTAGCTTGGGTGTTCTTTTTTCAGAACTAAGCAATCATATCTGTTTTGAGACGACAATACAGATGGAAGCCCTTAGACTTAACAGAAGAAACCATTTTTCACAACGACAAAAAAGTATTTCCCAGCGACTGAAGAAAGTAATGAGTATCACCAGGAAAATATCTTATATCGTCAGTTCGCTGCAAAACATTTTAAGTGCTTGCCTTTTTTTTAACATTTGGTACACTGTTTCATATATAGCCGTACTTTCCTACATTATGATACTTAGTTTAGATTTCTTTAACTTTTGGATGTGGTTGGTCATTATAAAAATTTTGCTCGATGTTTTTATCTTATGTTTGGCTGTTCAAGAAGCGATGGATAATTTCCAAAATATTAGGAAGCTTTCTCTTGAAATTTTCTTTGTGGACGCGCTTCAAAATTGGTACAAAACGGTGAGTAAATTTGTTCTATACAATTTTCTGATAATATAATTTTTTTGACATTAGGTGGAAATGTTTCTTAACCATCTAAACCTAAACAAGTTTGAGGTCAAAGTCCTTGGAATTTATACAATTTCGAACAATATGTTCCTTTTAATTTTTTCTGTTATTAGTAATTTTCTCGTGTTTATTATTCAGTTAGTTATTAAGTACAAGCAACAGTAGTATGTTATTAAAAAGTTTGTAACTTATGAAACTAATAAGTAATCATGTTGTTTAATTTAATCTTTTTGATTATCTGTAAAATGTAATCCTTTGAAATAAATAGGTATAAAGTAACCCATTTAATTGTGTTTTATTCTGCGTAAAAGGTTTAAATTGAATCACCAAGTCTTACGCCAATTAAAGTTGAATTGAAAGTTTAATTAAAACAGTTTCCATAGACTGTAATGTAGAAAATACAATAATAACTTAATAGTTCTTGCTTATTTAGTAAAATTTTATTGGTTTTCATCCTTTGTTTTCGTAACTGACACATTCTTTGCTTACTTATTTTTTTTTTTGGTGACTTTGCTCTGTAATTTTTAAAAAAAAGTCGCCAATGAAATAAAAATATTTTAAATTACGCAAGCTTCAATTTAATTGAAATTTTTGAACTTAATAAATAAATCGAACATTCATTTATTTTTGTTATTTATTTTAACGAGTACATTTGTAATGTAAATGTTTGTTTTTACCTATATTGATCGCTGTGAGTTTGTGCCTTTGCTTTCTTATCTAAATTTCACTGTCTGATTGGCAGATAAAATGCATATCATCGTTGACACAAGATCGAACAATCATCACCCCGTTGTATATGAAAACGCAGTGCTGGGTGTCGTTATCGTATTTGGGTTCATTGGAGCGCCACTTCAAGTAAGGAGCTCGTTTTCCAGAGGCCAAGGATATAAACGTGCCCTGTTGGGCCAAATCGTTGATGCCCAGCCAATAGTTTGCCTTACTGAGCTTGCCTGTAATAGCCTTGTACTCCTGTTCGTTTTTAATCGCGGCCAAATGGCCACCCATCTCAACACAGATCGATTCCGCAGTTCTCCAATCGACAGATAAACTGTGTTCAATGTAGAATAACCTCGTTCCAATCCGCACAGGGAAGTTCAGAAGTTCGATTTTCCTGCCAATGTTGGAGAGTGAACCCTCGACGGCATCGTGGCGGCTGTCCAAATTTTTTTGTAGAACTCTCAGTTGATTGTTTAGTTCTGTCTGGTTTCCAGATATCCTGTCAAGTTTCTCATTAAGGTCCTGCGGAACTGAATTCTTTAAATTTTCGTCAAGGGATTTATACTGATTATCCAATTGTATCTGTGTCGCCGTTAACTGGTCCTCTATTTGATCAAGTTTCGCCTGGGTTTCATTTAACTTTGCTGTGCAAGTATTCGAATCCTGTTGTTCATTTGTTATGTGATCGATCACTGTCTGCAGTTCGGAAAGGCAGTATGGTCCACATTGGTTCTCAGGATCAGTCAATAAGCATACGTATCGCCTACCATCCTGTGCTCCTGCCAAGGATCCATATAGATGCAGTGTCATAAATGCACACAAAAAGTACGTTGCGAATTTCAACATTCTGAATAACCGTTGAAGTTGAAACTCGATACTGAAATGAATCAGAATTGTTGAAAAGTCATTATAAATGGTCTGGCTTATTTTTGATAAGCATATTGTTTTATTTTATTTTGATATTTCCAGAAATAGTGTTATCTTTATTTGATTATTGTTCGGCAATAAATTAAATATTCTTATAATATCTTTTGTTTGCCCTTCAGGAAGAATTAATTGTTATCTGTGATAATGAAGAGTATGATTCAAGTTAGAGCGCTTTGGTTGAATTGATTTTTATTACTTGTAGATAGTGTGAAAATATTTCCGGTCTTTCTTTTCTTGGTTAATATAACAAAATTGCGTGCTTGATAAGAGGTCAATGAAAAAGTTCAGTATCATTTGCCATTATATTTACAACTCGTTTATTAAACTTGTTATCAGATAAATAAACATAAGCTTGGCGGTGTTTTTTGATTAACAAAGATGCCAATCACCCCAAAAATTATATTTCAAATTGAAATAAGACCTTTACTGCCTTTTGATGTGTAGAACTAAAAAAAGTTTTTTTCTATTCATTATAAACCGGATCTAAATAAAGGTACAGGATTATGAAGTATTTTGTACTATATTAGATATATTAGATTAGATAAAACAAATTTTTTCAATTAGTAAGAAATAATTTGTGGGTGTTACCTTTCCAATATTTAATGGTAATTACAAATACTTAACACAAGCTGTTTAAGCTATTCAATTTTAATTTATTGTTGTTTAGGTAATTAAAATATTTAAATGCCAATAAACTTAGTTGAATTAAAAGCCAATATGTGTATTTAATATATACATCAACGATAAACACCTTATATCTTAGAAAAATGTAACAACATGAAATATTTTTACCGATCGTAAAATAATATAGAACTTTAATAGTTAATTATTTGCATTTGGTCTTATTCTGCACATCGTTTATCGATACCCGGCTACCATCACTATCTGCGGGTCTCCCATCTCTAACAACCGACGCCAAAACAAACCAAACAATACGAGTTTTCTTTGCACTTTCGAAAGTTATTTTACTATTTAGCCATGTACAACGGAGATTGCATTGCCATCAAGGACATTAAGCCAGGCCTGAAGAATATCAACGTAATCTTTATTGTACTGGAAGTGGGCGTGGCTACCGTGACGAAGGAAAACCGGGAAGTGCGGAACTTTAAGGTGAGACAATTTAATTATTTTGCACAGCAAAGTAAACTTTATAGCTCTTTAGGTTGGTGACCCCACGGCCTGCATAAATGTATCAATTTGGGACGAGCCGGGAAAACTGATAGCACCCGGGGATATCGTGAGACTTACCAAGGGCTACGCCTCCATTTGGCGGCATTGTTTGACCCTTTACTCTGGAAAGAACGGCGAGGTGTTTAAGATCGGCGAATTCTGCATGGTCTTCAATGAGGCTTTGAACATGAGCGAACCGAAGCGTGCGGAACAGCAGGGGGTGGCCATTCCTGGTGGATTGGTAGCCGTTCCTCCGGCAGGACTTCCCTCTGGCAGTGGTGGTGCCGCTATTCTTCCGGCGAAAGGCGGTGGAACAGCTGGCATTTCACAGCCCGTCGTAGCTGCCGCAGCCGGAAATTCCGCTGCCCAGAACCCTGTGACCACAACTCCCGCTCCTGCAGCGAGCAGTGCTCCCCAAACGGCAACGAAACAAGGAACCCGAGGGGGTCGAGGCGGCGGAGGACGAGGTGGCCTCAAAGGGGACAGGCGGTAGTAGCAAAGTAACACACAGATGGGCTCAGGATCAAGAACTAAGCGAACAACAACTATAACTTTGACATTAATGTATAGCTTAAGCAGACCCATTTCCACAGCGCTAATAATCAGCGTTTGGCTGATTCCATATCGGTATGTTATACTACGTGTTATCTATACAATTTTGACTTTGCAATTAACGAACTAAAGTGGAAAAAATAGGTTTAAGATCATTTCACACGAAGTGTGTATGTTTAACATTCACTTGTGTTTATATTAAAGCTATGTATATTTTGATAAAACATTTTCTTTTAAAGTGGTATTGAAAATTTATTGTAATATTACAGTTTTGCAGATCTGTTTTTGTATTCCTATTGATCAACGCTTGTCGGTACCGAAATCAAACATTTAAGTTAAATTTAAACAGACTAGTTTCTTTTCCTAATTAAACCGAAGATCGAACACGTTTTTTACGATTTGAAGGGTTTAAAAACAACGAACTAAAGATTTGTAATGAAAAATGTTTTATATATGTTTTATTTTGCAAAATCAAAGACACAAAAAGATTGTTGAGAGAGACTGTTGAGGAAGCATTTATAAAACTCAAACAGACAAATCCCTCTCCTCTAGGTGTAACTATGAGTGTGGTTAAAGTGAGTGTGCGTGGAATTTAGCTTAAGCTTAACATCCTCTGGCGTTTAACTTAGGCCTTCTTCTTCTTCTCGTAGTAGGCCTGCACGGCTTTCAGGAGATAACCGACCTCCTCGACGGTCTTGATCTGGTAGTTGGCATAGGTCTTCAGCGTGGGCAGCTCGGAGACACGGAAGGTCTTGCCGATGCCGTGCAGCACCTTGATGGCATCCTCGTCGGTGGTGTCATCGCCCACGTAGACGATCTTCAGGTTCTTGGCCCAGTCGGCGTCGAACTGCTTCTCCAGGATCATCTTGGCGCCCTCACCTAAAAAGTTAAGTGAATTCGTTTGTTAGAAAGCCAGCTACTAAAATATTTTATTACGACTATATAAAACTAGTCAATAAAAAGTAAATGAACATCCCTGCCGTCTAAAATTGGCGATTAAACAGTTGAAATTCTTAAAGCCTTGAAAGTATCTTTAAATCAACATTATAAAAAGAATTTTTAAAATCATAAAACCTAATTGGTTAAAAAGGCCTATATTACTTAACTATTTTAAAAAGTGGATGCTATAAAAAATAGATAGCTTTAAAATTAGAGTTCATTAGGTCATAGGTTTTTTCTATTCTTTTCATTCATGATTTGAAATTTTGAATTTATAAAGTTGGTTAGACTATTACGATTCCTTTCGCTTTAGTTTAATTTAAATTAATCAATTTATAACATAAATATAAATTTATAAATTTCTTTGTCTTAATGCAACCTGTGGTTCCAAAAACGCTCGATTTCTTGTGGAAGCCATGTGGAATATATAAAAACAACTATGCACTGCTGGATTTCGTCCAGAATCGCTCAGTAAACAAGCGAGAACAATATTTTCAAATGTCTAGAATTCTTCTCGGCACACATCTTAGATCATATAAATCGCATTCAGCAACAAGAAATAGAACCGAATTTTTCCTCCTTTTCAGTGAATTATTTTTAGGTGTCGACGTGGGCGGATCTTCTCTAGTTTTCGTTTCGTAATTTGGTTTGGCCAAAAGCGAGTGTTTGAATAGATGAAATCGAATCGTTTAAAATACAAAGAAGCCGTTCGCAGTTCATTTGAGCATATATTAGCAATTTAGTACGTTAATCCACCTCCTCTAATTATTTTAATTATTTTTCTTGCCCCATCCCTCCTCAGCGTTTAACGCCACATTTTTGTTTAATTGGTGACGCAGTCTATTCACCGATTTTCCACCCCCTTTCCCAACTGCAGTTTTCTCTTATTTTTCAGACGGCACCAAGAATTCTTGTTCTCTTTTGTATGCGCCAGCCAAGACTTCAATTTTCACGAAAAATTTATCACAACAACATTTTCTGTCGGCTTCTTTCTTTTTTGCAATCATTTTTTTTCTGGCCCCTATAAATTTATTGCCTTTGGAGACGTACACCATCATAATTAATTTTTGATTTTCACGCATTTTATACATGAATATATGATCTTAAATACGCTCCTTGTATTTTGTCGCCACAGCCCATTGGCCTGAACGACAATTTTGATGGGAATGGGTTGGATGTCTTCTAGAGGACAGAGGCGACAATTGGCTACCATAAATCTTCTTAAGAGGGGTACGAATATTTTGTAGATAAATTCTATAAGAATTTTGGAACTGCAGAAATATTTATGGTTTATTTGCTGGGATTAAAGCGGATCAAAGATTGGGGATAAGTTATGTTTAAATATTGAAATTTTTAAATATCTCTGATATCTCAAATGAGAAAAAATATTTTTATCGGACCAAAGGCAAACGAAATGTCAGGAAAATAAGTGGAAACAAAAAACTAGAAACAATTCCCCGAATTTAAGTACTTACATATGTACTCATGACAGATGTCGTTTTTATTTTCATGATTGATGTTTAAAAATTACTTAAAGAAGTTCTGAAGATGTGCAATTATATTTTTGAATAAATCCTACTTTTATATTGGTTTTTATGGGTAATAATGAAAATTGTATCTCTAGTTCTAGTCAAAACTATATTTTTATGGCCTGGCCTCTTTTCAACTATATGTCATTAAAACTACGCATCGTTAGAGAAAAACGTCATCAAATTAATTTGTTTTCGCTTCTTTTTGACTTCATTCATCTCAGGAAAGGGTAAAACAACAAACACCTCCGCCAAACGGAACAGTTTGTTTTTCAAGTGGGAACCAAAACTTTCCGACAAATATTTTGACTAGCAACGAAAACAAGAGATGAGCAATCTTAAAAGCGAAAGCGAAATCTTGTGTCTATGAAAAATTACAAAGATATGTTAATTTATCATAAGGAATCGGTCGAGGTACTGACTATGTATAAGAAGACAAGTATATATAGTTTTAGGCGCGCTTTTAACATCACTTGGCTGCGGGATGTTTTGTCTACCGAATCATTTTTTATATAATATATGCCACAATGTATATATATTTATTTTCCCGAGACGTTTTTATTTTGTCTGATTTTTGTGACTGAACTTTCAGGCAGGCGCTTGTGTGAAAATTTTTCCCAGAATATATTTTTTGTGAAAGACGCCCACATTGGATTCCCATCGGGGTATAGAGAAAATAAAGAAATTTGGCAATAATTAAATCATCGAAGCGTCGAGTCAAAAATCGAATTGTTTCGAGCAGGTGCCGAAGTGCGGAAAGCTGAAAGGAATGCCATGGGGACAGTTTGCAAATGGATGGCAACAGTTGGCAAATTGTTTTACGATGACGGGTGTATTAATAACCTCTTTGTATGATCGATTCGGATGGGATTGGATTCGATTGGTTTGGGTGCAACTAACCTTTGTCCCAGTTCACGCGGGGCTTGCCCTCCAAGGCGTAGGGGGTTTCGATCAGCTGGAATCCATGGGCCTGGATCAAGGCCTTGGCATCGGCGATCAGCTTGGCCTTCAGCTTGTCGGTGACGCCCTTGTAGTGATAGGTCACGGAGATCTTCTTGTCCTCAACCCAGGCACCGGAGCACACGACCTACGGAAAGTAAACAAATGTTTTATAAATCCGATTATTATATGGTATTATTACAAATTTTAACTTAATTGAATGGAAATCCAATAAAATGCTATCTTAAAAAATTAAACCCAAAGGTAAACTTAGGACTAATAAACCCTTACTATATTTTAAGAAAATTTACTTTATTAAATTGGATAAATTATACAAAATATTGGGGAAAGGTTTAATTTCATTTATATAGTTTTTCAAGATTTTTGTACATTTTAAATTGTTTCTTTTAATGGCACTAGTAAAAGAATTTAATTTATTTAAGTTATTTCATTTTGTCATATATCATAGATCCGGAATATTTATATTTGTTTCAAAAATTCGTTTTAAAACGAAACATTTCAAAAATTTGTTGTTAATCTATATCACTTTATATCACTCTCACTTGAATTTTGTATTATTTGAATTCTGATAATATCCGATCGGCTCAACTTATTTTTAAATTACACTATTAATTAAAAGATCACTTTTCTCACCTTCTCCTTGAGTTCAGCAACCAGTTTGTTGTGCTTCTCGAGCAGCTCCTCGGGCATCTCGATCTTGAACTTCTTGCCGGAAGGATACTCGACCTCCAGACCGTGGTTGCCGGCATAGGTGACATTGGGGAACTTCAGGTGGTTCTTGATCTCGCTCAATTCGCGACCGGAGAAAACGACCATGAAGATCTTCTCGTTGGCGGCCAGCTTCTTGATGTTGATTTCCGTATCCTTGGGCATCACGGAGAGCTCCTCAGTGAGGGGAGCCAGGGTGCCATCGTAATCCAGCAGAAGAGCCACCTGATCCGTTTCGGGGTTAATGAATCTGTCGATAAAGTTTTATATCTTCTGATCCTGGAAAGTCCTGTCTTCCTTCTTCTCGGAAACTCACCCCTCGAGGGCCTTCACGTAGTCCTCCTCCTTTTTCAGCAGGGGTGCCTTCTTCTGCTCAGCCATTTTCTATATGTGTATCTCTGTATCTGAGGTGTACGAATTATTTTGTATCTAACGGATATTGCGCGCCGTGCTGGACGTTCCTCGACCGATTTAATACTAATGGCCAGCTAACCTCAGCAGCCATATATCGCCTGTGATCTATAAGTATCCCGCGATCCCATCGCGCTCTCATTCTGCTTCTGCCTCTCTCTGAATGTGCGGTGGCAACTCTGGCCGCATACGTTGGCCAAGTAATTCCCACAATATTTATGAGGCATATGCGCATAAAAAAACACATTCTATAATGGATTCTTGACTGTATTCGAAGCGTATTTATATAAAGAAGGAATATACACACCGTTTCTATCTATATAGCCACAGATTTTCGTTTTTTGGGGTGCGGGGAGAAAGTATATAGTGTTTATATATATTTTGATGATGTCTTTGATGCACCTTTGTTTGAGGTTGTTTGTGTTTTGGAAGTGTTTCTCTTGTAAGATGACACACTTTGGGATTAGTATATTAGTCTGATATATTTTGGATTTTATTCGAAAAAAATAATACGTTCTTTTCTGTTGGTTTGTTTTTTCTTTGGTTTGTAGGTAACACAAACCATAATGTTGCGAATTATTGGTCAGTTGGATGAGCGGAAAAGTCAATTTCATTGGATTAACGTTCTCTACAAAACATTTCCATGATTTATTTATTTTCTTTTGATCTTCAAACGAATGGCAATCGGGGATGAGTCCGATTTAAGATTGATGAAACATTTTGTATCAGATAGTCTTGAAAAAAAAAATATTTTTTGTTTTCGAAGATGCTAATCAAAATAAATCTTAAATACATTCTTTAAAAAAAAAAAAAGCTTCAATTTTATATATAAATTAATACGTATACATTTTTTAATCCTTTTCGCTATAAATCCATTTCTTAAATATAAAACTTTTTTAATAAGAACATATTTGGTTTTTATTTAATTTTTACTATTTATACATAAACAATTACACAGTATCGAAATGTACCGATTAATTAACATAGATCTTTATGCAAAGTAAATTACCTCTTTTAGAACAAATCTAAAAACTGATATTATTCAAATAAACATTTCTAATTTAACAAAAATCTAATAAATCTAGGAAACATAAGCACCAGCTATCCATTTAAGCAGATCCGTCATTACAGCCTGTTGGGGCAATCGGAAATCCGCGAAAGTCTGGATCTGAGGATCTGCAGAAATTCTAAATGAGCAACCGACGCCTTGGAGGGCCTAAAATATTTCAAATAATCAAGATAAAGTAAAGTACAGTAGATATAATAGTAGTTGAACTCACTCTCATGGCATCTTCATCGGTGGTGTCATCTCCAGCAAATACAACATTTATAACCTGTGGCCAATTATCACCGAATTTCTGTTTCAGGATGTACAAAGCCGCCTCTCCTTTGTTCCAATTTACTGGGGGCTTAGCTTCGATAGCTTCGTGGGCCTGATTTGCTCTGAATCCGTACTTTTTGCAGATCTCCGAGGCCAACTGTTTCTGTTCATCCTTGAGTTCAACGGGAGTATCCCTGTAGTGATAGGTGAGCGAAACCTTCTTATCCTCAACCCAAGCTCCATTCTTCTCCACCTTTTGCTTGAGTTCCGCCACCATATCTGTGTAGTTTTTCTGGATTTCCTTGGGCAATTCGTAGTCGTGTCTGGAGCCATCGGGGTACTCGATTTCCAGTCCATGGTTTCCGGCATAGATGGCTCCATCGATGTTCACCTGTTTCTGGACGTCCTTGAGTCCTCGGCCAGAGATCACAGCTAAAAATACTCGGGGATTCTGGGCCAACTTGTGGATTATGGCTTCCAGTTCTACAGGCATTTTGGTCTTGGCGGGATTATCTGCTATTGGAGCCAGGGTGCCATCGTAGTCCAAAAGTACGGCAATCGGATACGATAAATCGATCCGGCTGTAAGAAATAGTATATAATATAATAAATAAACTTGATAATCATTGTAAAATAAAAGTATTTAAAATTGAAAAAACGTTTAAAATAGGCTTTGTATGTGTTTTTATCTTCAATCACAAACGTTAAAAAAATAGATTATTTTAGAAAATGAATGTTTTGTTGCTGTAATAAAACCGCAAGAAAAGAGTCACCATGTAAACTTATTAAACATTTGATAAGAGAGAAAGAGAGAACTAAGTAAGCAGTGATGAAATTTATTTTCCTTATCAGTAAATTACTCATTACATGACATAGACAAGGTCACTCTTCCGTTGTTAATTATTTAACTATTTCGACTTACTTGGGTAAATTGTCCTCAAATCCTTTCAGATCCTGGATAACAGTCGCCACATGTTTTTCCGGCATATTGGCAATTTCCTGATAACTTCTTGTCGCGTTTAGAAGGAAAGCGAAAACAAATACGAGCGATTTCACTGCAAAATATTATAAGCAGAAGATTAGTTTCGCGTTTGAATTTGGCTTATCAGCGTGTTGATGTCTCAGTGTCTCAGTTTCAACTGCGAGATCTTCCGGCTGAGACTTGCTTTTAAGGCAGTTTGATAGTTCTCACTCTCTGGTGATAAGAAACCCGAATCGATGGGGAGTCTGTTTTCGGGATTCTCGCGCTCTTTGGTTAATTATCACCTAAGTACGATCAGCTCTAGAGATCAGATCACTTTTATACCTTATACGAGTACTTTAAAAGTCAGAGTTTGGATGTTTTCGACTTGCTATCGACACCTTTTCCTGATGAATCTGCGAGACGGTTTGACTTGATGTTTCTCCGGCACCTGCAGTTTTATAATGTTTCGTTGATGGCGATTTCCTCAAACATTGACGACGGGTTTTTGTCCTATGGAACAAAGGCGGAAAGCCACCCACCCAACCCCCTTTTTCGATTATCTGATTCAGTGCATCATGCGTCGCCTTCGTGTGCGGTGCGTGCATTGCCCGCTTTTTCCCCCCAAGTTCTTCAAGTTCACATTCGTGGGCAATAAAACAAAAACCGAAACTCATAAATTCCACCCACCAGCTCCCACAAACATCATCCCATTATTACCCCCCTACCATTTCTCCTCTTTACTTTGACCATCGTTAATTAGCAATGAGCATGCAAATCTGGTTATGTCGACCGCGTTTGTCCTCGCCAAATCCCTTTGACTCTCCGATAAGCGTGTCTCTATAGGAGGTAACCGAATGACTCCCCATGAATTATCCTATGGACCCCGACCCTTATCCCTATCCACACCACGATGCCAACGCGATTTCGGGACACAAATATTTGCTACATGCAGTAGAATTGATTAGGCGAGGCGGCCCTCTAAAAATAGTCACAGCATGGGCGCGACACGCGAAATCTGTGGAAATGGGGGTGGGAAATTAAGGGGAAAACCTAATAGGGTTTATAAAGATAACAAAAGGACCTTAAAGGGGTGCCAAAACAAACATCTCCTTATGATAGTAAAATTTGTTTGGACAATTTCTACATTTTTTCTAACAAAAAGATATTTGTTATCTAATAACTACTGCTACTACTAGAAAATAAATTTCTCTCTTAAATCAGTTGATCCCATATTAAAAACTGAAAATTTAAAGTACTTTATTATTTTTATTTACCTTTAAAACGTTGAAAATTTCCTTTTAAAATTTATCTTCTAATTATATTATCACATAAAATTATCTTACAATTTTCCATTGTCCACAAAATTTTCCAAATTGAAAATGTTATCTAAAACTCGCCATGAGATATAACCTATTAAATACCCAGCAAATTTTCTGGAAAGGTGAACAGTGGAAACTCCCTAGAATAAAATCAATCGCAGGTGGCTTAGAAATGTTTTGGGTTAGCAAAAATTATAGAGGTTGACTGCTAAAGTGAATCACGCTACCTGGAAACAGCAGCATGCTCCTAAAGCATGTTCGAACAAACATCAATAAAGACCAGACCCAAAACCAATCCAGACCTGACCAGGCCAAACTGTTCACTCGCAATATGACTACAGATGGAACTTGCTAACTCGAACCAGAATAAAGCACTTTCAAGGTGGCGTAATCAAATGGTTTTACTTGTTATTTACTCGAAAAAAAAAAAAAAAACAATAACAATATGTATGAATATTTTCAATAATAATTCTATCAACTAAAGATTTCAATAAAATAATCAATAAAATCTTAATAAAAAAGTTCTATGCATTTTTGACATTACAGAGCTTTTTTTATTAGTAAATAAATTATGTTAAATATACTTTTAATATATTTTTAAAAGAATAGTGTTACTTATATGGAGGTTGACTGTTTTATTATCGTATCTGTGGCTTTTTTAAAGAGGGTTTAGATGCAGACAGCACGCTTATATCTAAACAAACAAATCCACTGGAGTTGGAGCCCCCCTAATCGAATCTTTCGATGGGCACGAGCACAGCTGTCCGACTTTATCTGGCTGCTAATTTCAATCTAATTGGGAGGCGACTAATTTTCACATGGTAAACAAGTGTCTGGGGAACCCCCTTTCCCCTTTTTTGGCGACCCACCATGAAAAGTTTGAAATCAGCATCGGAACATCGACACATGAATATGTCTTGATAAATTATTTTCATTTTCCCACTCACTTTTTCACCGAATTGCACTGATTGACCTGTCACAAAACTTAATTCGCCAATTATTCAAATACAAAACTGTCAATTAATTCAAATAAATCGCAGAATTGGCTTTGATTTTGGTAAATATTTTCGCGTTTCATCGACTGAATTTTGTTTTCTTCGTTCCTAATTTTTGTTTTGCTTGGCTAGAAAAGCTTTCGCAGAAGCTCTAAGATCAAGCTCTCTGACTCAGGTAATAATGTGGTAATGATGACGGGATGGGGAAGATTTATTGGCCGCCCCAAATAGATATTTGAAAACTGTTTGTAGAGGAGGCTGTAAAAAGAAATGGCCAAAAGTAGGCACAGTGTGCTGCGATGTTACGAAAATTTTACCAAAATATTTCGTTAAATAATTTCACAACAAGCTATACCTATTCTTTTACTAACATGATTCACCTTAATAATTTTATGATTTTTCGATTTTATAGAACTTTAAAATAAAATTTTTTTATAAAAAGAAAAAAAAATTTAACTGTAGACTCGTTTACTGAGCCATTTAAAAACCTGTTTCTCATTAGAGAGTAGGTAACTTACCATAAGTTTTCCAAAATGTTTCCTGTCAATCTCTATAAAATTTTAACATTAGGAAACGTCATAAAGAAAATAAAAATAAAATGGATAGCTGCATTTATTTAAATTATACTATTCATTTTGATCATAAGTAGATAATAATGCAAATATAATATAATTAATAATTAAAATATTTGAACTATTTGGAGCAGAATGTATGTATTGATTTCAAGTTCTTTGCATCCATATGGCTTTTAGGAAAATATGCCCACCATAAACATTAATTAACATAAGCAAGTGTCAGGTTGTTATCCTACCTATCCTACATAGCCTCTAAAATCTTTAGTTTCCACCCTTTTAAGGTTTAAGGGAATTAAAAAGAAAGATGGGGGCGTTGTTTTGAACACCTTTGCGTTTCCTATTTGTAAACAACAAGAATGCAAAGTGACAGAAGAGCATGACGAGCGGAAGGGGTTGAAAGGTCGGGCATTGGGGTTTTCGGGGTCCTGGGGGCAAAGCTTAAGGTGGACATTAATCAACCGAAAATCGCTGAGAGGGGGGTCGAAGGGCATGGGCAAACCCAGGCCAAGGCCAAGTCGAGCGTGAGGCATTAACGTTGGCCGAAATTAATGTTCAGCTCGGCTGACAAAATCCGACCTGTTGCCACTGTCAGAAGCAATTAGTGGACGTGCCACGAGGCGTTTCGATGTCAACAGGTTGCCACATTCCCTCTAGATGCACACCGATAATATGGTTAGGTTCACTGGATCCATATAGTGGCTAGAGGTTATATATATATATGGGGAGGGGGTGGATGGTAATGTTTTTGTTAAAGGCGGTTTCTCTGTGCGTAGAAAGCCGTGTAAACATTTATTTCACCGTTTGCGTGTGGGCGGCGTGTTTAGAATAGCATTAGGGCATGGCTTAATGCCAATTACATGGAGAATGTTTGCATACTTTCCTTCGTTTTTTGTTTTTATGTTTGTTCTGTTTCTCGGGCCTAATGTTAAGTGAAGGTCAGATGGACAGAAACAAAATTCAATTGCCCCCCGTGGTTAGGGGAATGTTTGTGATGGGCGACCTGGCAACAGAAATAGGCCTTTTCTATTCATCTTTAGCAACATTGTTGCCGAATTCGATTAGGATTGTAGGTCAAGTTTACGATAATTGTGTGTGCTTTCCTTTTGGGTATCTTAATATTAGAGTTGATAGCTTGGCCTATTAGAAAGAATGTCTGTATTAAGAATTTTGGGGTAGGCAGTAATTAAGAAAATTAGGTAGGTTAAATGTATTGTTCCTTATTAAACTTTAAATTATTTTAAAAGATAACATTTTTTAAAACGCCAATTACTCAATGGTTTATATAATCTGCTATATGAAGTTATTCAAGTTATAAAGTTAACACTAGACACGGGCACTGTATTAGAGGAAATTATAAAAACATAAACTTTTTGTTGATAAGCTTATTGCCACTTTGGTTTTACTTTGGTTCTTCCCAGAAAATTGTTTGATGTTCATTGTTTATATAGCTCTTAAAATAAAACATAGAACATAAATTTTTTTTGTTTAAGCGAAATTTATTATTAAGCTTTATAACACTAAGCCCAGAATAGAACAAAAGTCACTAAGATGTTTTTATAAGCAAATGTATATTTTATTTTAACTTAGATATATTCTTGTATACATTATTTATTAAACAAACATTTTTGTTAAACTTTTAAAGTACGTTAAGCGTATACATTATTTTTTCAATGGGTTTTATATTTTCTGATTTATATATTAAGGTTCGTTTTTTTTAGTTGTGCTTGCTTTACTAAATGTAGTCATCTGATTGACAGATGTAATGCATGGCATTCCTGTTGCATTGTTCAAGTATCATCTCCCCCTCGTAAATGTAAGCACAGTGCTGATTATTGTCGTTTTTGGGTTCATTGGAACGCCACTTCATATATCGAACTTTTTCTTTAGAGGCCACGGGTGTAAACATGCCTTCTTCGTCCAAATCGTTGATGCCTATCCAGTAGTTTGCGTTTTTAAGCTTTGCAGATATAGCGTTGTATTCCTCTACATTTGCAAAGGCTGCCAAATGACCACCAATTTCACGACAGAATGATTCGGCAGTACTCCAACCAACAAGATAATTGTGTTCAATGTAGAATAAACTTGATCCAATCCGTATTGGAAAGTTCTGAAGGGCGATTCTCCTGTCAATTTTCATTTGTGAATTTTGAATGTCGAGGAGTTGGCCGTCGGTTTCCCTTCGATTGATCAAAATTGCGAATTTTGTATCAGACAAATTTCCAAGTATGTGATCCAGCTTTTGGTCAAGTACCTTCGGAATTATTTTAGTTACATTTTCCCGAAGCGATTTAAATTGACTTTCGATTTGGATCAGTGTTGCGTTTAACTGTTCCATCACTTGATTAAGTTTCGCCTCGGTTTCATTTAGTTTTAGTTCGCAAATATTCGATTCCTGCTTGTCGGTTCTTAGGTGATCGATCACAGGTTGTAGTGCAGAAACGCAGTAAGAACTGCATTGATTTTGAGGATCACTTAATAAACAGACGTATCGCATACCATCCTGTGCTTCTGCAAAGGATACGTTGAAATCCAAGGCAACAAATACGACAAAAATAAATGTCTTGAAACTAAACATTTTGTATATCCTCTTAAGTCGAAACCTAAGAACTGACTGATATTGTATTCACTGGCGGACTTCTTAAAGAACATGCATTGTTGTTGATAAGCTTGTTTGATCTTCTTATAATTATTCTACCAAGAATAATAATTAGGTTATCAGAGTTTGAGAGCTTGGTCAATATAATATAACACTAATACTTCGCTTTATGACTTCAAATCATTTGAAAAGTGTCAGATTGTAAAATGTTACATAAAAAAGCATTGCCTACTTTTTGGTTGAAAGTGTTATTTTGGGTTTGTCTTAAGTTCAATTAATAATGAACATTTTTTGTAACGATGTTTTTGATGCTAATAGCTAATGTATGCTGTGAGAAAATAATAATTCTGTGTATGAGTAAGTCAACTTAATCTTAGTTGAGATAAAGGGTTTCTAAGGTGATATATTTACATCATTATTTTTAGCTTGTAACAAAAACTCATTATTTTATTTTAAAAAAAACTTTTTTAACTCACTTAAATTTTAATAGATTCTTAATCTTTTTTTTTATATATTTGTTTATAAGTTGCTTCAAATTTTTACGTGCAACATGGCAACTGAAAAGATACACATGCGGCTAGCATCACAACAAGTTGCTGGCAACATGTTGCTGATTTCATATTGCGCGGGCTTTCTGATTGTTTATAAACCTTTGGGGCTTCATTCAAGCAACGGCAGCGCAGCAGATGCGACGCGTCGCGGTCGCAGAGGAAAACTTCGTTCGAATTGTTGTTGCGGACTCTGCCGCAGATTCCGCGCCCGATTTCGATACGCGTATGTGGATATAGTGCACCGACTTGCCGAACTCTTTTGCATATTACATCTGTCTACGTATTACCAGTCTTTTAAAAACACCGCTGCGAAGGTGGAAAAGCCGTGGTAAAGCGGTGGAAAAGTGGGTGGCCACTCGAGCTTTGTGTGTTTTGTTATTGCCGCACAATGGCAACGCATCGGTCGGCGTTGCGTCGCAATAAACCTACTTGGATGGCATCGGCAGCGGTACTAGTTGGATATATAAAAGCATAATTGCTGCCACCCAGCGGTTTAATACGCAAGTGGAAGCTGAAGTGTCAACAATTCGCCAAATTCAACACAAAAATTCAATTTCTCCAAAACTAATTACATTTTTTAAATGTTAGTAAAGAAGTTTAAATATTAAAATCTTTATAAAAAATAAAAAATTAACAGGGAGTTCCAATTAATACAAGTCTATACTGACAAAATAACAATTTATTTAAAAAAAAATATTGAATGATACTTCTCAGAAAATTTAAGTCCTTGAAAATCATGCATAAACTCAACAATAAGTACAAAAAACAAAATGATTAATCCAAAATTGGGAAAATAAAGCTAACAACAAAAAGTCGAAGCAAATAACAAACTATTAAGAAAAATAAACATAAACAATAAAAACATATTTTTACATCAAATATATAATTTTTAAAATAAGGTACATATTTGATATAACATTTATTATTTTTCAAACAGTGCGTATACTTAATATATATATAAAACATTGCTAAGAAATGTTAACCAGTTGGTCTCATAAAATGGTTTCGAATAAATCATAAATACACATACAAGACAACTAAAAATATTTTTGAGGAAAACGAAAACTTGTTTAAACGGTGCGTATACTTAATTGTTGTTACAAGTAAATAAAACATCAAATTTATAGCAATCAAATGGAAGAAAACTTTGTTGCAAATTTTACAAACACAACATTTCATGAACACATAATAAATTAAATCAAAACTTGTGTTTTTTTGATTGTTTCTTGTTTGTTTTGTAAACAATTATGAATCAGTGGCGGTGGTAAAGGGTGTTTCTAGAGGGACAGACAGCAAAAAGTCCTAAGTAAATAGATTTCAGAAACTTATATCAGCTATACATCTCCGCTGTTGTTTAAAATACTTGTTTGTTAAAAGCCCCAAAAAGTTCCGCTCATGCTCGATTAATATTTTTGTTTCTCCAGTCGACCTTGACTCGCGTCTATAACATTTCACCTGATGGTCTGCACATATACTTTTCGGTTCTCTTGATTTCTAAATCATTTTAATTGGCTTTGATTCTGCTACTTCCGCCCCAACAAAAAGAAAAAAGTCTTGTGCAAAACTGTTTGACTTTGAATTGGTTTCAGAAAATAAAACAAATTGCTGTGTGCCTCTCCATCTCTTTCTGTCTGTTTTTGATTTGTTTGTTTGATATGTTTTAAATTTGGCGGCGAGGTCGTCAGCTTGTCTGTGCAAAAGTGAAATGCAAATTCGTTTCTTTTTCGCCGACCGCTATGCGTTATCTCAATTCTGTTTTGGATGTAAGGGGGTTAAAGGGAAAGGTGTCTACGGGGCAGCAAGATTTATTGCATCAACTAAACATAATCAGGCGCCTTAGCACTTTTCCCCCGATCCGACACACATCGCACCTTTATGTGGTGGCTAGTTAATAGCACCCGATACTAAAGTGCGGTGGAGGACGGCTCTTACTTTGTGGTGCTGCTAGTGGGTATAAAGCCACAAACAAAAGCGTTTTATTGCCAACCGACCGCAGACACGACCAGAGACAGTAGCAAACGATGACAAACGCCATAGCCGCAAAATAATAGAATTGCCCGAATCATAGTTAGTGAATCGAGACTCGAAATACCCTAAAACGATTTAGAAGCTATATTTTTGCAGACAGTTTCACCTTTAGATCCTTACCATTACCTTTATAATTTAGAACAATATGCAAGTATAATATATTTTAATAAAATAACGCTATGCAATATATTTTAATAAAATATATATAAAAAAGATACAATTTTATTATATTTATATTTTGATAAGCAGAGGAGCCTTAAATTACTATTCCATTTACAAATAGTTCTATTGTGGTGCAAAGTTTTAAAGACTAAGTGGTAACAGATATATTATTGAGTATTATTGATAATATATTTTTAGCTTCACTAGATGTCATTAAATGTTTATAAAAATGTAGGTATGTAAAGTAAACAGTTCTCCCAAGAGTTACAGATTTAAATAGTTCGACAATTTAGATACCATTTTCCCAATTATCTAAAGTGACATACTATTTTTAATGCCAATTAAACTCTCTGTTCTAAGGGTAGCAAAAATAATTCATCGTTCCGAACAACTGACACAATGAGTGGGTACGACAAGTGCATGGGAATTTTATGAGGATGGGGATCATAAAGAGCAGAAAGCTGGAAGTTAAGGGTTGGGTTGCCGATGGAAAGAGGGTTATAACATGTTATGGCGCTTTCTGAGTTATTGATATTTTGCATCTCGGCCTACGACAAGTGGCAAATGTGGCAAGGAATGTTTGAGGCTAAGGAGATTTCTTTCAATTTGTGCGTTCTCTTCACTGCGAACTGAGGGTTGGTATGTCCTCATAAATTCCATTGATATTTATGAGGAAGCCCAATTTTTATTGGAATGGAAGAGGAACGAAAATAAGCAGATAAAAGCCTGCCAGACTTGATAAAAATTATGTGCGATGGGCGCGGGTTGTTTGAAATAGAATAATGCATACTTTTAATGAAAGACTTGAAAACGAGATAGACATCAGTTTTGTGGGTTCCTTTTGATTTTTCAATGGAACACAAAATAAAGAATTAAACGGAGTAGGAAATATTAACCTCATAAGTAAAATACATATATATTTTAGCTAACCAATAAAATGAATTTAATTTTAATTACTTTAAAAACAAGTCACATCCCAACGTTTTAAACTTTCCTTGTCCTTTCTTTATTATTTTCGTTTGCTCATTATTTCCTGATTAAAGTTTTACCTCATTTAAAATTCGTTCCAATTTTACCATCTCAAATTTCAAACAGCTTGAAACTGTTTAAGTTTTTTCCTTCGCCCCTTTTCTCTTTAAATCCTATCACCTTTTTTTGGGCATTTCCAATTCTTTCGCTATTACTTGGACCTTTTTCCTGAGAATAAAAAACATGTCTATGTTTATTTAAATGGTGCTTAGTCATGAGAAAATACCCCGTGTGAGCCTAACTAAAATAACATTTATGACGCTTGACTTGTATTTATGAAGCTGATTTAGCAATGTCTGCTTCCAAGGTGCCACAACAAAAGAGAGAAAGAAATTTCTTTTCATAGATTTATTTTTATATATATTTAAACCCCACTCAAGGTGAATACTTATGTGGAGGAAGTTGACCGCCAACTCCAACCATTTTTACGCATTTTCAATTTCATGGCCGCACAGCAAAACAAACTGAGTGTGTGAGCAAAAAAAGCAATGGAAACATTGGATATTATTGCACAGTGAAAGAAAATCTAATTGGAATAGTAAAATACAAATTGCACTTTAATTATTTAATAATAATTTCTAATGAGAATCTTAATAAATGTTGGTACATTTCTTTTTTTTTGTTTTTATAACTTGTTTTTTTATAAGAAATTTCCTTATAGCAAATAAAAGAAAAAATATGATACATTTATTTCTTTCATTTCAATTAATCATTTCTGTATTAAAACTATCTACATTTAATAATTTTAAAAAAGCAATAAGTATTAAGATATACTTTTTGATATCAAATTGTCAATTAAAATATTTACAAAACACTTGATTAAACCAAGTGTATATATTTTCTTCCTGTGTAAATACGGTTAATGTTAACCTGCTGCTCGATACCGAAATGAAATGACAAGCAAAAAACGCGGGAAAAGTGGTGGGGCAGGTGGGGCAAGTGGGGCGGGTGGGGCAGTGCCATCGAGACAACGTGGAGTGGGCAACTCCAATCACCAACAATGGGCCCCGAATGGCAAGTGGCGCACTTCCCATGACCTTAGCCGAAAGTGGAATTGGTTGGCACCATGACAACCCACATGGCCCCCTCCCAACCCCCTTTGCCCACTTCCCTCGATTTCCTGAACAACCACTTGTTGGCCGGGCAGTTTGATTTGTTTTCCGTGGAACTCCAAGCGGCATAATCATCCTCATCAACCCAATCAACATCGGCTCTCGGGCGATGACAACCACGACTGCCCAACACGTGCCCCCAAAACAAAATTTGGAATGGGATGGGAGCTCACGTTGCTGGAAAAGAAGGCCAAAACTATAGAGTCCCGTAACTCAATCTTCGTCTGGACCTCAAACAATATTTTGGGTGCGCAATAGAACGCCATGTGTTGGTAAACATAACAACCAGGTCAACAACCCAAATGGTCCTTTCCCATTCCATCGGGGTTTTCATTTTCAATGCCTCTGCCAAGGTCCAGTCGACGTCCTCGCAATTCAGGCATGCGAGTGTCCTGTCATTACCTGACATAAGGGGTGCTCCATCTCCATGAGTTGGGGTTAGTTTAGGGACCCGATGAAAGATAATCTGTAAGATAAAGTGTTCCTTTGATTGCCGGGACCAACTACGCAAATAGGGGATAGTCTGTGGCAATTAAGAATTAGGGCATTAAAGTGGGTTATCTTATCAAGCTTTAAGGGTTCTTTTGTTGAAAATTTAATATAAGCCCAAGTTAAAGCATACTTAAATTGCTAGCACAGAAAACGATTTGTTATACCGTCATAGTAGTCAAAAGTCAGAGGTATCGTTGAGGTATCCTTTTATTTTATAGATAATGTATATTTTTAAAGGTAAAAACGAACTAAAATTAATAATCGTGACAAACTTGTTTACTGTTTTGCTTACTTGAATATTTATTTCCTTGCTAGATAACAATACACCCAAGGTCAAGAAATAAATCCATAAGTGCACCCCACTCTTTTATAAAAAGTTCAAGGGTAATCAACCCTCTTGTCATATAATTTCAAAACAACAACTTAGTTCTTAAGGGAATGCCAAAGAGCTCAGACACTTCATTGTTCGTAAATTTGTACTTGTTGCTTCCTCCACTGCAGCCACTTATTTATTTTTATTTTATTTTATTTTATTTCACAAGATCCCAGATTTTTTTACCATTGCCTCGGAAACCAATCGCTTCCATTTGATTTCATTTATTGGGGCAGCCAAGTTTTAATACGGCGAATACCCTTAATAATTTCTGGTGGAAATTCTGTGAAACTCATTAGTGTGCGTCTAACACCTTGCTTCACTGCATGTCCCTCGCTCTCTCCACTCGACTTCAAATCATCTCCTGTTCAAGGACCCCACCAACCCCACCATCATCCTTTCCGTTTTCTAGAGATTGCCTGCGCAATAAAAAATGAATCCCTGCGAGTGTGAGATAGTGGGTGTAATGGAGAGGCAGGATAATAATATAAATTGATGAGTTCCATTGCAGACTTTCGGGCGTGTGAAAACCCAAATATGTTGACGAGTCTCGCTTTCCCGAGAATTTCCCCAAAATGTATAATTAAATACAAATTAGCAGGAAAACGGAAAAGTTGTTCCTTTCCGGGGATTAAAACCGTCTGGCTACAGACAAAACTTTCCTGATCTGCCTTAAATCCAACGCCCGAAAACCACTTGATGCTGGGCATTACGTATACGCCACGTTGGTGATGCCACACCTGGCTGAAGGCAAGGGAATCCGAACTTGAGGCTGGGAAAACAGGAAAGCAGGAAAGCGGGAAAACGCTTCATTAAGCACGCACCGTCGAGTGTTTGAGTTTCAAATCCAACTAATTAAAATCTACGCAGCACAACTTGAAGCAGGGAAAACTCGGTAACTCAGTGTTGCTCGTGTTTTGGATGAGGTGAGGTAAGCTGGACTTAGATTGCTCCTCATCCTGGTTGCCGTCGACCGTCGAGTTCATTTGTTTCACTTTGTCTGAGAGCCAGCCACAATAAAACTTCTCAGTTGCCCTTCGAAACCTTAAAAGTTGTTCTATTATACTTTAACCGAAAATACGTTTTAATTACTGATGAATGAAAATGAATCATTCATAGAATTTCATTGAACTTGTAGACGAAATTACAAATAATGAGTTATTTACTTTAAAGACAACGAATGTAAATAATGTAAAACTCTCGCTTTGATTAAAATTTTTACAACTTATTGATATCAACAAAAATAGAAAGATAACAAATCTGAAAAACTGTTGTTGGGAAATCCGATGATTAATAATATTTTTTCTATATTTATTTATCGACAATTTATGACTCAGCAGCTAATCAGAATTATGAATGACTTTCGTTTTTAATCAGCAAACATTTATCAGCAGCTATTCAATTGTATACATTGAAGTGCTTTCAATATTATATGGACTCACAATGTCCGTAGTTGTCATCAAATAACTCATGTCCTTGCACGTGTCGTTGAACTGAGCCAAGAACTTCCTCCTGCGATTCTTCATAGAATTATTTATGTGCTCGAAGGACTCATTGATATCCGCAAGCGAAGGACACAAATGAGCAAGTGACATTCCGTTCGAGGAAAGTGATAATTGATATTTTATTGTCGTCACTTGTTGCTCGTTTATTTTGCTAGTTCTGCCATATTTTGATATCCTCTGACATCCGGCGCTAATCGGCTGATGGGGTGTGTCCTTATAATTTATTATAATGACCATGACAAAGACCAAGGACTCGGTTTCCTGCACTTCCAACTTTTTTTTCTGTGTCTGCGGCTCTTTCTGGAGGACAACGCAGAAAGTGTCCAATAAATGTTTTATAGTTGTCGGTAGTCTGACATTGTTGACCTTATCAAAAGCACAAACACTCCTACTCCTTCATGTGAGTGTGTTGGTTTGTTTGTGTGTGTGTGTGTGTGTCCATGGGTGGCTATAAAAAACACACAAGCCAAGCGTCTTTTGTTTGGGATTCTTGCTGAGTTTTTGAATCCATGGCACTTTAAAAATCTTTTACCAATAATGACAATTTTTTTATGGAAACATAAAAACATTTTATTTTAAATCTGTTGTATAATTTTAATGAATGACATTTGAAACTTCATCCCAGAAAGAATTATTTTGCAGTCAATGGTTTTTCTATATTTAAAAATTGTTTTTGCAAAAGACTATCCAAACGCCATTAAAAGAATATAATAAAACAACAAGTTTTATTATAAAAAGAATATCATAAAACAACAAGTTTTATTATGAAAAGAATATCATAAAACAACTAGTTTTATTAATAAGATTTTTTATTTCAGTTAAACAGGAATAATTTTAAAAATTAATTTTGTATTGTTTGACTTTAAAAACATAAATATGTTTTTTGACTGTGTTTACAATTTTTCTGTATTTTCCTTGTGTCTTTGCGCTTGGAAAATATGCAATATTGCTGGAAGTCACTGGCCAAAATTAGAAAGCCACCTAGTCTAGTTTTCTCTTTAGTTCTAAGATATTTTGATGTGGGTTAAGGGGACCAGAGCCAGCCACAACAGCATCTGGAATCCGGGGCCAACAAAGGTCGTGTCACTCATTCCCAGCAGACATATTGTCTCGGAAATACGAGACTTTAACACCCACACCCAAGGAATAATAGCAAATAGTTGTACCCTGGAACAAAGTTAAAAATGCTACGAATTTTTATCTATTTTGCATGATTTTTTTTTGTGAATAAACAATTTAAAAACAAATATTATTGAAAGCCATAATAAAAAGTTTTTCACACCTTTAAAATTTGGACACTGTGTAGGGAAAAATAAAAATAAACATTAAAGCGTTCTTAAAATATAATTAAATTCTAAAAATATATTTCTGCAGTTTTATTAAATTTGTTGCGCTTGGTGTCCTATAAAAAATATAAAATAACATAAATAAATCCAAATTAAAATGAAAATTAGAGAAAGTAATCTTTATTACATTTCAATACCAAACAAAAATTAGCTGATAGGTAACTAAAGGTCTTATATAGAGTGGATTTTCTGATTTCTGACTTACCAACCTTATTTATTATATTTCGCAGGCAATTGTTCCCCGTATCTGCAATGAACGCCACCTCACCGAAGTCATCGCTGGTCAAGTTGGGCCTGCATACCAACAAACAAAAGACGCTGAAGGTTATGGTCTTGGGCCAAAGTGGCGTGGGAAAGACGGGTGAGTTTGCCACTCACCTACCGAGAAAAAAAAGAAACCCATCTTAAGGGACCTCCCCATTTAGCCATGGTGGTGCGTTTTATTACCCGGCGCTTCATTGGCGAATATGATCCTAATCTGGAAAAGATTTACACCTGCCAAACGACGCTGGACAAGGAGCAAATTCAGTTTGACATTCTGGATGCCACCGGCCACCTGCAAGTGGGATTTAAATCTCTTTTTCACATTAGAAAAATTTTATTAAATCTTTTTTTTATAGGAACTAGATGGCGTTAGTCTAGAATCGAACATTCGCTGGGCCGATGCTTTTATTCTCATGTACTCCATCACCGATAAATGTTCCTTTGATGAGTGCAGTCGCTTAAAGTTCCTTATTAATTACAACAAACGAAGACGCAAGTTGGGCTCGGCTAGTAAAGTAAGTAATTGTAGAGAACCATAAGTATTAACTATATTTATTTCCTTATTATTTAGGACTACACTTTGGATATTCCTGTCATATTGGTGGGCAATAAGACGGATCAGACGGGGGATAGAATGGTTAGCTTAGAGGAGGGTCAGCGGAGATTCAGGGAGTTATCGTGCGCCTGTTTTCATGAGATTTCCGTCAGAGAAAGTGTGGATCAGGTAAGAATAAATTGCAGAATATAATATATTCGGATATGATAAAATACGTACATATATGTACATATAAAAGAAAAATGGTACATACACAAATACAAAAAATCAATTAGATCTATGTTACTTATTCATTTCCTAAATTTGTTGCACATATATTTTTGGTATAAAAAGACCTTAAATATGTTCTAAGACATTACACAAAAATAAAATGTTGTTTCTTAGTTCGTTCTTTATTTTCTTTATGTTATTCTTGGTCATAAATAAATTTGTGTTGTAATACAATATCCATTGATTTTTTACGATCATAAAGTACATTTCACGTTTGTTAATATTTATATAATAATTATCTCACTTTTATATAATACAAACTTTAAACTTTACCAATGCTTTTTATAGAACCGTTTTTTTATATATGACTGTTAATATTATTATGCAGGCACAAGTATATTTAGGCATATCTAATTTATTTATAAACTGTTTATTTTTTCCACCCAGGTGCAAAATGTTTTTCGCGATGTGTTTCGCTTCTGGCGAGTCTTCAGCAAATTCCCCAAGCTCAAGCGCTCCACGAGCGATGTGGCCAACACGGATGGAATCCTCACTCCAGATTCCGGATCCTGTTCCTACTACGATGCTTCCTCTTTGGGTGCTGGTCGTCGCTCCTTTTTGGTGATTGGAAGCGCCTGTTTGGAGGAGAGCAGCGGTGACCACACGGAGTCCACGGATGAGATCGGCAGCAGTAGCTTGAGCAGCTCTCGCAGCGATATTGATGCCCCATTCCGGAGTCGAGCTTCGACTGATGGAACCTTGTTGTCCCGACCACGAAGATGGCGATATCCACCGCCTGGATGCCTACTGCCACACACAAACCGAGTGGAGCGACGGATGAGCATTTCCACCAGGGGCAGCAACGCCAGTTATTGAGAGGGGAACCAAGTCCACGGGGGTCAAAGGTCGAGGGTCGAGCTTAGCTAGTCAAATTGTAGCGACAAATGTATAGCTAGATGTTATTGTCATGAAATGTGGCTTGTGTATTTTTGGGAGAAAAATATATGGTGTTTTGTTGTGATTAAAAATAAAATTTTTTGAGAAATTTCACACAAATTAAGTTACAGGATTTTCCAAATACAAAGTTTATATTTATTTAAAAACTGATACAAATTTTCTAAAATCGGGAACTATCGTTTTACAGAAAGTTGTTGATATCCTTTTTCGTATTTATTTAAACATCAATTACTTAACAAAACAAAGCAAGAAATGGGATTACAGGCTATTGACCATAAACTAGTCATCGTCGATTTTAAGCAGATATTCCTCGGCACGCAAAGCGAGTTCTCGGATATTCCGCAAACATCCAGCGGCGGCCAACTGGAGCTCCTTATTAGTAGATCCAATGCACTCCAGCAGGAAGGGAACCACTCCACTCTGAAGTAAAATAAAAATTGCAGTTTATTTTTAATAGAAGTATACAATTTTAAAATACCGCTATTTGATAGTAAAACTAAAATTAAATTCCAAATTACTACCTATAAATGCTCTTAAAAACTTAAACTGAAATGTATTTAGGTTAATTATGAATTTTAATAATTTTTTAATGCCTGTCTTTTTTCGTTGCTTGATTGACAAAATAGTTAAAAGACTATTTTTATTGATTTTAAATGATAGTATTATTTTAAAATAACACTTAAAAATCAGATAAATATTAATATATTTATAGAGCAATTGATTTAGAAAATATTAAAAAAAAAAAAAGTTTCTTACCTGGTGCATGGTAATGCAGTTCTGTGGATCCATTGATAGTTTCTCCAGAGCCATGGCTGTGCTGCGGTGCACCAGAGGATTATCGCTGGTCATGTAGGTGACAATCGGAGTCACAGTGCGCAGGCGTCCCAGTTCCTCGGTGTTATTGCCGAAGCAGGCGCATGCGGCCACGGCAGCTGCCAAATTCATTCGCAGTAAGTCATCCGTAGTCTGGACAAGATCGGCCAGCTTATAGATAACCCTCAGATCGGTTAGAATGGCTAGATTGGTCTGATCCTGGGCAATTGTGGCTATAGCAGCACAAACAGCAGACAGAACCATAATATCCTTGGATTTTAAGAGACCCACAACAAGTTCCATTGCGCCAACCAAACTCCTGACCAATTCAGCAGAATCGTGGGCGTTTTTAACACAAGGACAAATTGCATAAGCGGCATGAGCTTGAACTCTGGTGCTGGTGTTTTTCAAAAGCGACCAAATCAGTCTGACGGCATCCAAGTCCTCCAAAATCCTCATGCTCTCGGGATCTTCAGCGCACTCCTTTAATCCCTTAGCTAGATTTTCCAGCAAAGGACCATGGGAGCTGTTGAGTAGAGCAACCATGGCTGGAAGACCTCCAGCTTGTCGCAGTTGTTCTCTGTTGTTTTGGAACCTCACACATTCGGAAATTGCTCCAGTGACATTGGTCAACACCTCGTCACATTCATCATTCAGCAAAGCCACCAAATTGTTGACCGTTCTCAGTTGATCCAAGACTTTGACATTCGCATCGGTTACGGCACACATCCAAATCGCCCCAGTGGCTCCCCTCAAAAGGGGTTTGTTGTCTCTCAAGTTCTTTTCTTTTATAATAGTTACCAGGGGTTCCAAGCCCCCCGCCTCCCTCACCAATTCCCTGGTACTTGCATCAAAGGCACACTTATAGATAGCCGTACTGCCCTCCATCTTCAGTTCGGTATTTTCGGAACTCAAATGGGTCACGATATCGGGAATCATGCCCTCCGTGGTGATGGCCAGTTGGAATTTCGGTTCCGAAGAGCATTTACGTACGGTTCCCATTATCGGAATTACTACATCGATGTGGCAGGATTTGAGTAACTGAGCCATCAGGGGTACGATTCCACTTTTGCGCATCTGTTCCATATTGTGTTTCGAATCGGCCAAAGTGAAAAGGGCTCGGGCTCCAGCTCGTGTCATATCCAAAGATTCCAGATCATCGGGGTTCAATTGATCTCGAGGGGTTTTTAAAATGCTACAATATATTATTAAGTGTTAACCAATTTTCTGAACTAAACAAAATCAAGGTAAAGACTAAAAACGGAACCGGGAAAAATATTTTAATAAAAATTGTATGCACCTTAAAAAAAAAAAAATTGTTGGATGTTTTAAATATCAATTTTTGTTCTCGCTTAATAAGATATTTATTGGATTGCTTTGAATTAATTTAAAATGTTTTTCCCTGAATGATTAACATTTTTTAACGGTATAGAAATCTTTTAATTTTTACTCCTAAAAGTCAATGTTCTTTTTTGAAATAGAAATGTATATAACAGGTAATTTTTGGTTTTATGAAAATACGATAAAAAAATATTTTTTGAAAACACCAACTCACCTTAATTTGATATCGATAAGATCCACCAGCTTGGGGATTCCCCCACAAGTTCTTACATACTTCCTAGCCAGTCGCACCTTGCACACATTAGCCAATGTCTCCGCCGCCATGGTCTTCAAATCTTTCATGGAGGAGTTTAGTATATCAACAATCAGTGGAATACCATCCAGATCCACGATGGTCTTTCTTATGTCGATGTTCAAAGTAATATCCGAGAGAACGGTGAGGGCGCCCAAACAACACTTGGTGTCGCTGCACTCCAGAATATTGACCAGGACATCGAGTCCACCGATGTCCGAGATGGCGAACTGGTTGATCTGGGTGCTCAGATCGTAGTCCTTCAAGCAGCACAACGATACTATAGTGGCTGTCTGATTGCCCGCCTTGATGTACTTCACCAGTTTCTGGATATTGTAATAGTCGGCTGGAATTTCAGCGGCCCTAGCCACTTCCTTCCAGCGATCCTCCTCATCCGTGGACGATTCCTCTTCCGTGGTCTCCGAGTCCTCGGCGACCACCTGGCGCTTATCCTTGGAGAACCTGTTTGGACAGGATCCGCACTGCTCCCTTATTTTCTTTCCCCGCTGATGGGAAGTTCCGCTGCTAGTGACAATCATGGGTTCTGTTTTGGCCAATTTTATTCCTGAAATATCTGTCAATGAGCCTGGGTCTTTAGTTTATGTATGGGAATTTATTGTGTTATTGTGTAGGAGAATTTTGGGCTAGCCAATTGATTAAATACTCCTTGTTACTAAGGTAACAAAACTTAACTTTTAAAGGGCCCCTAATAAAGGAATACGTTTAGGTAATCATGAAGCCAGACAAATATAAACTAATTGCTGGAAATCAAGTCACATTTCTCTTTGAATTTTGACTAAGTTATTGATGCTTATTTGTATTGATTAATTACATTCAAAGTATATATATATAGTACATTTTTAATTTTAAAACCGAAAATTAAAACTAATATTATTTGAACTGAAAAAAATCGGTGGAAACAGCCCAAAAATTTAAACTCATGGTTTGGGTATTTGCTAAACTCCTCCCGAGCTCCAAACCGAAGGTTTTTGTAACAAGAAGATTATTTGAGTGCTTTTCCGCGAAGCATGCACGGTCACTCCGGCCGTTTGTTTTCAATCGGGTTTGTTTTTTTTTTCAATTAAAACTCGGCGATCGCAAGAAGCAGCAGCTGCATTTGTTTACCAACCGCTGTCGTAAAGTCACCCGGAAAATATAACGGTCTGAGGGAAATGGGAAATGCGAGCGGCAAGCGGGAGACGGATAATCTCTACACGTCGGAGGAGCTTCGCATGCTGGATTTGGCCTACAAAAACGCTTCTGGCGGAGCTCTAGAGAAGTTGACCCAAGACAGATTGGTGGTAAGTTCGCGGCCAAAATGCCACGTGTGTAAGTGCGAAAATCAATGCCCAATGCAGGCTGCAACTGCGGAAGGGTCAGGGTCACAAGTTCAAGGACGCCCGGGGTGAACTTCCTTTAAGAAAAAAAGGCCAAAAAAGCCTTCGAGTGCCTGACAAATGGCCATCCACCTGCTGTGATTAACACTCTATTAAAGAGTATACTCCCGACTCACCTGAAAGTTATATAAACTTCAATCGGTTTTTAATGATTTATTTTTTATTTATACTATTTAAATTTTTTTTATTAGTAACATTTTCATTGAACGTTTTTGTGGTATAGATTTTTTGTTGTGAATTTGTGGTAAAACCGATAAATAAACATGATGCGTAGAAGCCCTTTTTTGTTACTAAAAAATCATTTTGGATGATCTAAGACTGTTTTTATAGTTTTTGTCAATGTTTATTGAAAGACTAGGAAATTCAACAACATAATTCAAATTCTTGAAAAATGGTTTTAATTGTCTAGCTCGTATTGGGTTTAAGTAAAAACTATTAAATAATGTATACATTGTAATATAAAAGCATTTGTCATCCAATTTTTTTTCGATGCCGGTTCAAGGCCCCAGATTTTCATTCGTTTTATTTTTACCACAACAGATGACGGAAATGCAACCATTCAAAAATGTTTGTTTGTAAAAAGATAATTCTTCTTAATATTGCTTGTTTTGTCTATTTATAGCTGACATTTGATAAAACCATAATTCGCTAGGGTATATCAGAGTTCGATATCCATAACTAAATGCCTTGGCTGTTATCAGTTATGAACTGATAATTCCTTGGCCTGTGCGAACGTGTCTACAATTTGTCTAATTTGTTTGCTGTCGCCTTTCGTTGTTTGACTTTTGCTTTGTTGAATTTGCTTGCTAACGAATTAGTCGTGATTTCGATGACTGGGGTCGTCAATTAGGGCCAGCCCAATTGAATTAAAAATAAACAATATGCTTAACCCGTTTGCGGTAGCATTATGTCCCGCATACCCATAAAATTAATAAAGGCTGCACAGAGAAAAAAATTTTTTAGGCGGAAGTAATATTAAGATTTATTTACTTTGCATAGTATACATATATATTACGGTTTATTTACTACATTCATAATTTTTTTAAATACATTTTGAGGCCAACTTATTTTAAATGACAAATTTAATAATTTCAAACTCAAATATTTTTTTGTGTGCAGCCCTCAATGGGTTAATCTGTGTCAGCGCTTCCCAGACCTTGGTTCCCTGCAAGAATCTGCTGACAGCAGAGGGAAAATTATGTTTACGTATCCGGTGCGCATTTTGTTTATTTCATTGTTTTGCTTTGAAAACAGGAAACTTGGTCGCAAACCATCGAACGCTCACTGGCCGAAAGTACGGCTCAGTATCTATTTGCACCCACGAAGCCTGGTCAGCAATGTGTCAACATACCGCTGAGGAAGTTCGGGGAGCCCTACTACATCATGGAGCGAGGATCCTTTGACCAGAAGCTCCAAATGCTCCTGGGATCGTTGGAAAGAACTGGAAACGACACCTTCAACAGCAAGCAATTGGAGCAAGTGAGTCTATAAATAAACAAACGAATATGAAATTGTAAACACTATCACATGTCGAAGAAATATTATTTAATACTGATGCAATTTAAGCTATATAAGATACATACAGAGTTGAGGGTTTGGAGAAACAGGTTTTCGTTTTCCCCTTCGTTTTTTGTGAAGTTCATAGAATTTCATAGAGATCATAGAGATTCATTGGCTAGCCTTTGCTATTAAAGAATTATTTTGCTCTTTAACATTGCCAGATTGTCTTAAAAGCTGAAATATAGTTTTAATTAAAATTAAACTTTAAATAAATAGATTTAAACAATTTAATTAATTGATTTTTTTTAGTACATCTATTCGGTGATTAAGAGCTATGTGCACTTGGAGAGCACTGCCAAAAACTCATCCATTAAGGACTGGCAGGATATGGGCTTCAATACCACAGAGCGGTCGGCAGCCACTTTTGCCAAGGGCCTGATGCGAAATCTTGGCAAGGAACTGGAGCACACAATGCCCAATGAAGCCTTGGAACGGTGGTTGCATGTCACTCCGCAGTTTTTGCAGCTCTGGCGGGAGGTCTTCAGTCAGCTATATTGTCGCCATGGTGGCAGCAAACGCAACATAATCAAGGAAATGGAAATTCCAATTCTGCCCGAGTTGTGTGGTAAGTTAACCAATTTAAAATAAAAACTAACTTTAATAATCATTTTTCCTTTTTTCTAGATGCTCCCCAAAACAGTCACTATCGCCCAATCATCGAACTTCCGCACGTCCTGTATATTAATGCTCAATTGCCCCGAGAGCATCGTCACAAATGGCGCTTCCTCTTCTCATCGAAAATCAACGGGGAAAGCTTCTCGACGATGCTGGGAAAAGTTCTGGACAAAGGACCCACGCTGTTCTTCATCGAGGACGAGGATCAATACATATTCGGCGGCTATGCGTCCGAGACGTGGTCAGTGAAACCACAATTTGGGGGCGATGACAGCTCATTGCTCTACACCTTAAGCCCAGCCATGCGGTGCTTTTCGGCCACAACTTATAACGATCACTATCAGTATTTGAATTTGAATCAGCAGACTATGCCGAATGGTCTGGTGAGTAATGTTTATATTTAATTGATTGATTGCTTTTCTAATTGTGTTTATTCTGTATACAGGGCATGGGCGGTCAGTTTGATTTCTGGGGCCTTTGGATTGACTGCAGTTTCGGAGATGGACAGAGCGTTGAAAGCTGCACCACATATCGAGATTATGTGCAGTTGAGGTAAATACAAATAATACAAAACATTTCTATTAACTTAACCCAATAAGAAATACTGAGGCTACGTTCCATAAATATTTTTGGAATAATCTGAATCCAAAATTTTAATTGATTGCTGTTATTTTAAAACCGTCCTTTTAATATATAACTTAATAGACTGTTTTAAAACTACTAAAAAATATTTTTTTTTACAAATTTGTTTATCATATTTGTTATCAAAATTTATTTTCACAATTAAATGGTTTCCATCTTTCAACAGTAAACGCAAACAATTCAAAATTCGCAACATGGAAGTCTGGGCCGTGGGCGATTTACCCGTAAAAGAAGATGATGAAGAAGGCAACGGTCAGGTTTGTATTTTTTATTTTTGTTATCAACATATATATCAGTTATTAAGTTTAATTATTTCCCTTCCAGAAACGTTCGGTTTTGGATGGCAATTTGGAAGACCGTGCGATGCTAGAAATCGCCGGCAAGAAAATGCACTCTGATGGTTTACGCGAACCCGGCATGGATGATTGATATTATATGAAACTATTAAGAGGAAAAGCTTGGTTTTATCACGTTCAAGAATTTATAAGACCATGCCCGTTTTGGGTGTGCAGTTAATAATTCGATTCTCTTTCCTTTAGCCTTATTGCAAAAACCCTATCGAACACACAAAAAAGTCCTGCGAACAAGAAAGTATTTGTTCAATCCATTCCTATAAACGTTTTTGTTTAGCTATTAATGTTTATATATATACAATGTATAATGGATATAGTTTATGTAATACTGAGAGTATTGTTGTTGCGTTGTAGATCTAAAAGTGTGAAAATGAAATCATTTAAATGGTAAAACAAACAAGCAAACAAAATAAGCAATGTTAAATCGTCGAATTTTCCCCTTTTTATCCTACGTCAATAAAATGCAAAATATTTGCTGAATTCTTATTTAATCGAAGGTGTTTTAAATTATGTTTTATGAGTTTTAAAGTTCAAACCAATTTGTTAAAATTACTGGAACCACATTTATTATTAAATCAAGATACATTATTAATGTTGTGTAAAATATTTTTAGAGAAAGTGAAGAATCCTTCGAAGTGATGAAATACAGGATTGCATTTTACTATTGCTATGGAACTTTGGTGGGTTTATTATCTCAAACTTATTACACTGCATAATCCTTTATATTCATTTCCGTGATGTTTAGATATCCACTGCATATCCGGATAGTGTGACTCCAGGGGCAATTTCCTCCTCTACATAGGATCCTGCCTCCTCGAAGGACCTGGCGTTGCTATCCTCGAAACTGCGGCCCACGCTGGCAGGAGCTTGTCTCAGTGTCGGAGCCCTCTGCTGTTGGCCAAAGTTCCTAGAGACTCCATAGTTTCCCGATGAGGAGTTATAGTCCTCGTCCTCTTGGAAGCGACGACCGGTCGATCGCAATTTGGGCGCCTGGAATGTGTGTTGACCGCTGTCCGATCCGCGTCGATTGTTGAAATCATAAGTGCTGGTTTCGGATCCCCTGGGATAGTTTGTCTTGCGCAGCATGGCCTTGAAGTTGAATGGTGGGTCCTCAGAATTCTAAGAAATATATATCTCTATAATTGATCTATTTAAATACCTTAGAGACTTACATCTCCCTCATTGCGAGCCATGTTTTGAAGCTCCCTCACGGGATCCGATGGTGGATACGAGGATCTCTGCTGATAATTGCGCTGCTGCTGGTTGGGATTATTGCGATAGTAGTTGGACGAGGGCATCGGAGGAGGAGGAGGCGGAGGCGCCGTATAACCCTTCAAGGAGTTGCGCCTGGATCCTGAGCGATGGACACCCCAATTCTGATTGTTGTAATTGCTGTTGTAGCTGTTGTAGGCATTGTTGTAGGCATTCATGTTCATCTGCATTTGATTTCTGCACAAAGAAGCTGTTATTGGTATTCAAATTAATGATGAATCGAATTCTTACCTTCTCAGCTGCTGGGGATCCCTGAAGTACCCTTGATTGTAGATATTATCGCTCTCGCCCATGCGATCCCAGTTGGTCTGGCAAGCCTGCTCCTTCTTGTAGGCATTGTAGGTCAGGGCACACGAGGTCATCGAGGGATTGCGCTGGAGAGGACTGTCCCAGGGCTCGTCATCCTCCATGTGCTGCATCAGCAACTGGTTGGGGAACGTCTGGCGGGAAATGGAGTTGGCCGGGTCCACCATGTACTGGGTGTCGTAGAAGGGAATCTGGTCCAGCCGGAAGGGCATCTTCTTCATCGGCACTGGCAAAGGTCCCAGCTGCGAGGAGTTCACCTCCCGCATGTTGATCCTCTCGAAGGGCACTGCCCGGGTGCATTTGTTCAGCCCTGCCACCATTCTTTGGTTGTAGATGTGGACCTAAAAAAAATAAATATTGGGGTTTCTAAGAAATTTTTTCCAACAAAGAATTTATATAATAATAAACTGAAAGCTTCATAAAGCTTGCATTTGCAAAAAACTCAGAAAAAACAACTGATATTAGACTTAAATTTAACGTCTTTAAACTAAAATAATTCTAATAATTTTAAAAACAAAATTAAAAACAAATTGATTTCCCTAACTCAAATAGCAAACACAAATCATTAAAATTCATAGTTTAAAACGCGGACGACAACAATGAAATGACTGAAATGCAACTTTTAACTTGTTATTAATTCCAGTAACAATTAAAATAAGGGATAAAATAAAAAAACAATGTTAAATTTAACGGTATAAAAAACTTTTTAAGTAATGCAAATTATAATATACAACTGTATAAAACGATATTAAAATAATATGTCATTTAGTTATATTTAGAATTGTTATCCACACATTTGCTCAGAGGAAATGTACTTCTTTTTAATCTTTGTTTTTCCTTATATTTTGTGGAATATATTTTGGAATACCTGCTGCGAAAGATTGACAAAGTCCTGGAAGCGAGCCGCCCTGTAGTGGAGGAGGACCTGGAAGATGGACTTCTCGCGCCACTTCTTGGCAAACGGGCGGATAAAGTCGGCGGTGTTCTCGTTCAGCTGTCCGGACTTCTCGTTGACCAGCGGAGGGAGGCGGACCCGGTCGCGGAATCCCCTGTAGGCTGTGGGAAATATAAAAAGGGAAAAGGCGGAGGAAAGCCGTTAGAGTAACCCGTTTACAAAAGGCGGTCAGCGGTCAGGTGGACGGAGGAGAACGAGAGGGAAGTCACCTTAATTTAATTAAATTTTCATTTCTTTTCTAGCACAGCACTTATAATTCATCTCCTGCCGTAGGTGCCGTCGATGTTAAGTGTTATGTCTCAGACTGATATAAGCCGATTGGTTGCATCAGATGGCGGAATACAACCACCCAGCGGTGCGGTATGGGGATGGATCCACATTTGACACCACTAAGCGGCTTAAGTGGTTGCCGAGACCCTAGACTAGTTGATTGCCTTTGTTGTTGTTTTGTTTTTTTTGCATTTTCTAGATTTTATTGGTAGTAGTATTACGAGTAGTATCGATCGATATAGTGATATAGTGTGTATAAATGGTATATTGCTGGGGCCTATTCATCGACGGAGGCCTGTTCGATCTTCGATATCCGCACTGCCGCCAGAGCCTCGTCCATTCTGGCCTCGAGGAACATGTCCTCGGCCTCCGAGGGCGTCTCACTTATGTCGATGTGCTCCTCCTCGTACTCCCTAAGCTTATCCACCTGCGTTTTTTTACCTTTTTGTATTTTCGATGCGGCCACATCATGATGCTCCTGTCCCTTTTTGCCCACTAGGAGTAGGAATTATTGTTAGTTTTGAAAGTAATACAAAGTTAATATAATTTTAAGAACCTACATTTGAACACCTTGCCGCCTTTGACGCGTTTTCGTGCCAGCAAAGCCCGCATCATGGATTGCACTTTGATCACCTTCTTCACCTGCAGCTCGTACAATCTGTTAATATTATTAATTATTACATTTTGTTTGAATTTAATAAATAGATAGCTCACCTGGCCAAGAACTCGTCATTGTAGTAACGCAAAAACACCTTGGTCTTGCCCAAGGACCAGCCTTCCATTTTAAGACGCAAAAACAACAGGCGACAATTATCCTTGGTCATTTCAACAGGCTCATCAAAATCAAAGGCAAGGAATTGATATCTGAAATATATTTTTAAATTTATGTTTAACAAATACATATTACAACATAAGAATAAAAATCTTTTTTAGGTTCCTGTCAATTTCTAAAATAATATTATTGTAGAACTTTGTTTAAAGACATTTTTTTAAGAACAAAAATCGTAGAATAGTTTCGGCAGTTACTCACCTTCTCAGGAACTCCTCGAAGGGCAGCCGTGAGCTGTAGCCCTTCTGCCGGGCAACAACAGTGTCCAGGACGCCCAAGGCCTTCATCTGTTGCTGCACCACATCCGAGTGGAAAGCCCTGGGCTTGTACTCCAGATCAGCGCGAATGCAGCGAACAAAGTGCACCCCGAGACTCGAATTCTGGCTTAGCATTTTGAGCAGGGTCAGGCAGGTGAAGCGGAAGTTGGCCGCCAAAGTGCGGAGATTGTTCACCTGTGAGATGCAGCCGGCACTCAGGGTATTTAAGGCCTATAAGAGTTAGAAAAAATAAAATGTATAATTAAATTGAGATTTTAAAAGCATTATTTTGACGACAAAAAATATGCTACAGAATTTGAATTTGTAAAATACAAATCCCATCAAGATGTTATTCACATGTGGGACTTTTCTAGCTCAGATTACTTCAAAATTTAGAAAAACACCTCTTTATCAGTAATAGTAAATAGTAAACTCACATATGACTTCCTTTCGGTTTCATCCTTATGCTGAACCGCCTCGAAGGGCATCGTAAGGTTTCCAGCCTTGGTCAGTTGATTGGTAAACATGAGCATGATGCTCTCATCCAGCGAGGAGCGGAAAGTTTCGATCATCTCCGGCGGTACGAAATCCCGGTTAATGTCGGTGAAGGCGCGCGTATCGTAAATAATGCGGCCCGTATAATGAGCCACGGAAATCTCAGTGGCAGTGTGCTTCTTCACAAACTGGCTGTGCTTCTCCGAAACGCGATCTGGTTAAATACAAATTTCAGTTCAAGGTGATCCAATAATGTGTGACTATCGCATGCATACCCATTATCAAATCCTGATCTTGGCAGGAACGTGAGGCATCATCAATGATGTAGAACAAGCCATCCGGTTTGGTTAGCAAATTATCGAGAGCCGTCTTGTTGTCATAGAAATTCAGGTTGATGGTGTCTATATCTTCAGCCTCCATTTCCAGCATTTCACTGATAAAGATGCGTTGATTGTAGTGATACTGCATCTGTTCGTTTAGAGTGTTGATCATCAGTTGCTCGAGACCGTTTCGATTGAAGCACTCGAAGCCAAACATGTCGTGGATAACGATGGCATTGGTGTCACCACTGAAATAGGTAAACAATGGTGTTACAGAAACAATTTCTAAACAAAAAGTTCGTAAAAATTATTTATTAGCAAAAAAGTGAAACATTTTTAATAGAATTAAATAGATTTTTTAAAAAAATTTTAGACATAGGGTCAAAAAAGTACCCTCATACAAGAAGCTTTACAAATATTATTAAAATATTTTTTTTTTTTAAATAGTTATTGTATCTATTATATTTAAACACATAAATTTAAAAAAAATTTTTTACAAAGAATTATATTTATACTTACAACACTGCCCTTGGGAAGGACATGTTCATATTGATCCTGTTGATGATGAAGTCCACCAATCGGGAGTAAAGGGTGCTGGCCACTGCATCCCGAGCATCTCGGGCTTCTTCAGTAGAATACTGACGCCTCTCGGCAATGCCGCCCTTAACCATAATAAAATTGGTAAGGGACCACATGAATTTTTTCTCATCCACCCGCAAAAGTTCTGCAATTCGGGAAACAATATCGGTGTTTTCGACTTCGGCGAACTTTCCGCTCTGCCGGAAACGGATGTTGCCGATATTCAAAATGGCCGACAAGACCTTGCGAACGGTCTCCAATTGTTTGTGATTGAAATCAATATCCCTCAGGATGTCCTCGAATTCCCTGTACTTCTCTACATTTCCCTGCGGATCGTCACGACGATATTTAAGTTTGGATGGGGGAACTTCTGGGGGAATTCGCAGATAACGATAGTTGCGGTCAGCTTTTAGGTTATACTCTTTAAGCTGATTCTGCTGATTGATGAAGTCGTAGAAGTAGTAGAAAATATGGAAATTGTGCTGGGTGCCATCCGTTGTGGCCACTCGTAACTTTTCCAGCATGTACATATTGAAAACGGCTCCACTCATCTTGCCAGTTTTTCCGAAAGTCAAACAATATTGCAGAACACATCTGGTCGAATCGTTGTTCACCGGTGTTCCAGCATTCACCATCATCAAAATGGCTTTGATGGAGCTCTCCACTCTTCCAGTGGCTCCTCGATTTCCGGCACCCAAGTAGCACAGGTGCTTGATCAGCAAATGGGCATTGGTGGACTTGCCCGAGTAACTTTCACCGGAGAGCACAATGTGCTGCGGTTCCTTGTGGTGCAACATGTCCTGGTAGGCGATGTCGGCCACCGAGAAAATGTGCGGCTGATTTTCAGAACGCGACTTGAAGCGGTACTTGGCATGGAACTGGAAAAATTTAGGGAATTAAGTCAGTAAAATGTGTATTAAATTAGGTTACCTAGCTAAATGAATACCAAAAAAAAATTCCGAAATCGGTTTAGCACAGGCGTTTTAATTAATCCAGTCCCGGTACTTTTTGACAGAAGGTAGATTATCTACAGGAACTTAAGATTTGTCTATGAAAATTTATTCTTAATTATTAAAGGAATATAAAATCTAAATTGCAGTTCTCATCTATCCAAATATCTTTTTGACTACCCGTTTTATAAAAACACTACACCAATCCCCACAAATAACAATCAGTAATTTCAAGCTTACCTCCGGGGGGAATTCATTCTTGATTTCATTCGAATTTAAAGACAGCAAAATATCCCCAATAAAACTGAATGATTCTCCATTTAAAATGCGATGTCGCAGTGATTCAATTATGCTCTCATCCACTGGGTTCTCCAAGGCAGCCAAATCCTCGGGATACATTCTCTCCGGTTTTTCATCGAACCTCTTGACATAACCGCGGTCCACAAATAATTCCGGCTCCTTGTAGAGACTCTTCACATCCCTGGAGAGTTCCAGCATCTCCGAAATGTCCGAACGCATCTCGTCCTCGTTTTCGATGAGTTCCGTGAGGAATGGATGCTCCACCATCTCAACCATCATGGGCCGATTCTCGGCATTCTTCTCCAGACACTCGGATATAAAATCATTGATCTGCTGGGACCAATTAGTCGGACGCATTAAAGTTGGGGGAGGATTGCGAATAATCTGGAACATGGCCCTGGTTGGATGCATGTCAGCAAATGGTGGCTTTCCATCTGCCAACTCAATGGTGGTAATTCCCAAAGCCCAAACATCGGCTCGAACGGTGATATCTGGTTCCCTGGATTCCATGGCGGAAACCACTTCGGGAGCCATCCAACAGGGCGATCCAATGCAGGTTCCCCTCTTTCCCAGGGTGGAATCCACCTGACGGGATAAACCGAAATCGACGAGCTTCACGCGTCCATTTTTGGTCAGCAAGATGTTATCTCCTCTGATGTCCCGATGAAGGACATGGTTACGGTTCAATTCGATGGCAGCACGACAAGTCTCCCGGATGATATAGGCAATATGCTCCTCTCGCATTCGACGATCCAGTTTCAGAAGCTTATTAACCATATCCACTGCAGTTCCTCCAGAGCAGTACTAAAAATAAATATTAAATCAAACAAATTTAAAGAAACTTTATTCGAAAAATGTTTTTTTTTTAAAGAAAATCTTTTCTGAATGAGATCTTGCTTGCTTAAAACCCAATTTTTAGAAGTTTAACGAAAAATTAACGTGTCTTGTAACAAAAGGAGTATTTAAATTAATTTTTTTAATAATTTCTTTGTTAAAAAATAATCTATTTTTTTTTTTAAATTAATCATACATTTTAGAAAAACATAGTTCCGAACTGTATTATTGCTATTATTATTATATTGTTAGAATTTTTCTCTTACCTCCATGACAAACCAGATCTCGTCAGGTCCATTAGGCTTCGAAAGCTTGTAGACTCCATAGAATTCGGGGAGATTGGGATGGTCGCAGTAATCCCGCAAGGTGCGATACTCCTCCTCGATGGACACCTGGTGCTCCTCATCGTAGTGCTGGATCTTTAGGGCAACGATTCGATCGTTTTCCAGCTCCTTGGCCCGAAAAACCTTGGCATTGACACCTTGGGCTATCTCCTCGTAGATCTCAAATTTATCCGTCGGATCCGGCAGTTGCGAGTACGGCAAATACATCCTGACTCAGTTACTTATCCTGCACTTTCGAATAATTGGTGTTAAACTTGGGGAATAAGGTCAACATAAAGAGGTTGTTAAGGGGATTGCATTTTTCAATCTTCTCTTATGTAAATCGCATTATGCTTGTGTTCATTGAGGCGTTTTGCATAAGACTTGAGTATAGAAATTCTAGGGATTCTTTTAATCTTTTGGTTCCGCAAGTGTTTTTATCCCTGATTGTATAAGCATTTAAATGTAATGATATCCTAAAATTACTCTTATTTAGTTACCTGAAACTTTATTTTTAAAAGAATTTTATGAATGCTTTAATTGATTCGATGGAAATTGAAATTAACTTTCAAGTTTGTGAGACCTTTCAAATTTGTTTTGAAAATATATTAAAACAATTTTTTAAGGGCCTTTTATAAAATTAAAAATTTAAAAAAAACAATTAAGTCTTATTTGTTATTTTTTGTTTTCAAAAATGGTTTTATAAATTGAAATGTTTTATTTAAAACACGTATTTTATCCTTTGGTGCACAGATTCCATATCCTTTTTAAGGATGTTTAATGTTTGGATTTTCTTTGCTGCAACTTTGGTTTTGTTGTTTAATTTTTGTAAGAAGTTCAGTTCACAGATCTTTGATCACTTAATCTTTAATCCTTCAGGACACACACCTTTGTTCTTTGATCAGAATTTTTTCACTTTTCCCACAGAAGTATGCTTTCAAGGAAGTATTTATTTGTTTTGAATTTCGAACCGACCGCACGCATGCAGCACGTACCGCTGCCGTAAGCCAACTAAATGATGGGCCAATGCAATCGACGGCTTTTCACTGGCAAGGAAGGAAGCCTTTCAATGGGCAGTACCTGGGTGCACACCTTGGACAACAATTTAGCTGGCTAATTCAATTAGCGCTGGCGACATTCACGTGCCAGAGCAAAAAAAAAGAAAAACAGAGACACAGGTGGGCAAAATACCCAGGTGAAAGCGAAATTGCCAACGCGAGTGAAAGTCAGCTGATTGACAGACTAATTATGCATCTTATTATTCGTATTTACAAAATATATTTATAAGTATTCCAAATGGCTGGAGATTGCTAAACTAAGCATTGCATTTACACACGTTTATTGATTTCTGCCCTATTGCGTATGTTATGTTTTTTTCTTTAATACTGATCTGTGTGTTAAGTGTTGTTAGATTGAAGAAAAGTCTTTTCTTATTCGCGTGGCTGGGGCTCCCTGCTTTTCCGATTCCATTCCACTCTGTTTCCCTCAATTGCATACGCTAATCCATTCCTCCACGTGGCACTCCTCGCACTCCACGTTACAGCACCATTGGAATTTACAGTGACACCGCTCCGCCCTCCTCTGGATCACCTGGCTGTGGCCACGCCCACAGCAGAGGGAGGTGCACCCGTCGCTGGTCGTCGTGTTCCGGTTGCACTTTCGACCCACGGTGCCTGCGGAATAATTAAGATTAAATAGGAAATTAATATATATTAAACATATTTATTTTTTAAATTGATAAAAACAGATTATATATTAAATTTAGGTAATACCAAAATTTTTAAAGTTTTAGTATTTAATTTCATAACTATTTTTAAAGAATTTATATTGGGGTTTCAGCCAAATCCCTTTAGTTTAAATAGTAATATATATTCTAATTTGTAACGATTGCATTTTTCTTTTATTGATCTTATATAAATTGGAATGGAATTAACCTGCAAACAAGTATTTAAAATTTTCCATTGACAAAATCCACGAGCAAACCTTTTTTAATTCCTCCCACTAAAGAAAAAGCTATTAAAATGCAATAAATAAACTATTAAACTAAAGCTGAATAGACAAAGTATCATAATTGTTTGGCCGGCGATAATTGCCAGCGTTAATTGGCATCATTTGCCTAGACACGACACCGGACATGGACACATGAATCAAAACGCCCGATGGGCTGGTACCCAGTTCACTTCGGCTGGAGCTACCTGGCTAAGCCGGTGATTAATTATAAATTTGCGTCGTAATTAACACTTTTAAACTGCTGCCAGTCGCCGGAGCAACAGCGGCTTTTGATAATTTGCAAATGTGTCAACGGCAAAATGGCTAACGAAAATTGCAAGTGGCAGTTAGACGTCGATTTTTCGATGTGAACGTGCCGCAGCTCCAAACGATCCCGAAACCAGAGGAGAAACCAGAGGGGTAAAGTTACTTAATCAACTTTTGGTTTTACTAAAAAATAAAAAAAGTTAACAATATTTGTCACTTAATTTGAATACATTGGTTATTGGGATGGATTAGAAAATTAATAACCGCAAAGATTTCCAACAAAGTTAAACAGTTCATTTCATATTTAAAAGATGTTTGGCCATTAAAATTGGCTTTTAAGATTTAAAATACATTTTTTTAAACCCCCCTGGGATTTTTTAGCCTTCGTCTCTGCTTTTAAAATTCCAAACTGAGCTAAGCTGATCCGATCCGATCCAATCCGATCCAAACTGAGCTAAACTAAACTGAGCTGCTGTGCGCATGCGTCGTTGTCGCATTTTTTTCGTGAATTATGTGGCATGTTTGGTAGCCCGTTTAAAAAAAGCGTTTTTGCTTTTGTTGCATTTGCGGTTGCTGCTGTTGTTAATTTGCATATGTGATTTATTTATTAGAGGCAAATCAAATTTATCGCTTGGATCGAATCTGTAAATCATTTTTAATTAGTTGCACCGAATTTCTTAACGTCAAAATTGTAAATTAAGTTATAACGTAATGGATTCTGTGGGTTGGAATTTGTATTGATAAGAGGTTGAAATTGTAAAGAAAAAATAAGGTGCTATTTGAGTTGATAAAAGGTTTCAATTGTAAAGATAAAATAGAGTCCAGCAAAGTTAAAAGGTAGGTGAATTGGATGTAGATTACCAAATTAAAATATAAATAATTTAATAAAATGGCTTAATGGTCAGTAAAAATTTTTGATAATTATTATAAACTATTGATGATCCACTCACCCTGAATATCAGCTCCCAAATCCCGTTCACAAAAGTTCGGCGATCGTTGGTAGTAAAACAGAGAGTTCTCCAATTTGCGGGCCATTCTTGCCGCATTTTTATCGGCACTCGGTTGCAACGTGCCCCGCTCAACTCCGAGCTCCTCATGCCGTCGCGTCTCCGAATCTCCTGTGCCTCCTCCATCGGCGCCCCCAGATGCATCCGCGGTATCCGAATCGGGGGACGTTGATCCCGAGCCACTGCCCCCATTTGACTTCTTATTGCGCGCCCTTTTCAAAACGACCACGGGCTCTCCATTTCCCAGATTCGATTGGTCCACCAGAATGGCCTTCCGGAACTGGTGCTTCAGCACCTTGCCCACCACGTGGAAGTCGGGGGCGGACTTCCAGCAGGTCTTCAGCTGGCAGCTGCCGGACATTCCGTGGCACTTGCACCGGAATTCCATGTTGTTGGAGACGGCCTAGAAATGATAAAAAATCATAAAACAAATACTTATATAATAACAACAAAAATCTATAGATATGCTAAAAAAAGAATTTGTCGGCGAACAGCATAGTGAAAGAACAAATGCAACTGATAAAGTTTAATAATTTTCCACAAATCCATATTTTAAAAGTTTTATGAATAGTTTTTAAGATATACCATATGATAAGGGCATTTAAGTTTGAAAAATTTATTTAAGTTTTCAAAGAATAATTTTTATTTTTTTTTTTGAAGAAAAATTAAGCGTGGAAACATTGTTTTAAAAATTTCAATACAATAAAAATTACCTCTATTTTTACATTTTTATTATGGTATTTTCATTTGAATAACCATACAGGGAAAAATAAAAGCAAAAGAATACATATGACCAAGGCAAAGCTTTTATAAAGTTTTCTTTTCACATTATTCCAGATTATTTATTCTCGATAAAAAATAATTATTGGTTAACATACTATATATTATTCGTCTAATGTGAAAAGAAAACTTTACCTTATTAGGAAAGAAGGATTAATTAATTTATAATTTATTTATATTTATTAATAATAATAAAAGATCTGAACTCACTATCCTGCCGGCGTGATTGTTGTGCAGATTGATCTTGGACTGGATGTCGCCTGCTTTTTCGCGGCAGTCGAGGAAGAGCTTGGAGTACTCGACGCCGAAGTCCATGTTGTGGGAGCAGCCGCCCCACTTCCACCGGCTGGCGATCTTGGACCGCTCGTACTTCTTCTCCTCCTCGGGTGTTAGAATCTGGTTCGTCTCCAAGTACTGGAGGAAGAGCTTCTTCTCCTTGTCGAGCGACTGGCGCAGGTTCTTGTTGAGCGTCTTGCGGTTGATGGTGGGGTCGCAGCCGCAGGACATCAAACGACCTTGGCTGCAGGCGCGGGCCACACTGTGTGCCACCCCGGCAGCCGAGATGGCAAAGGCGAACGCACTCTCCCGATATCCTAAAACGGAAACAAATGTATTGGTTGTGGCTCTCGAATGGGATTTAGTATCGTAGTCCGAATGGCTGGACAAGCGGAGGTCCTGCCCCTGGGAATCATTGCCCACTGCTGCAATTTATGCGGTGTTATTTTTAACGCTGCATTCGAAGCAGTCGCCGCCCTGGGAATTCAGCGGCATTTCAGCTTTGACAACCAAAGCCCAAAGCCAAGACACTGTGGCAAGACCATTTTAATGATGCAGTCCACACCCACCCAAGGTTTGGAAACACTCAGCAAAATATTTTTGGGACAGGCGAACACTTTTTTTTTTTTAATTTTTTGGCCTTTATATATAATAAGATATTTGTTAAGAACCTTTAAATATTTAACTTTAACTATTAAGCTAAATGTATAAGTAAAATTTTTGTTTCAAGTTTCTATTATAAATAATTTTTTATTGCAAAAAACATTAAATTTCTTTCTTTTGTTCTTAACCTAATAAAAAAATTTTGGTTGACTTTATTAAGGGGTTATATACCTTCTTTGTCGAAAAAAAGAGGAAAGTTCGGATTTTTTTTTAGGTATGTAGCAATTATTTAATTACACGGGTGTTTTAATTTTTTGATAGTACACTTTATTAACTATGTTTGTGCAAAATTTCGTGGAAAAATATCAATTAGTTTTTAAGGGGTGGCTGTTTCCCTTCGAGGCCTTTTTTTTTAGAGCCTTGCGGTGATAACGCTCCTGGTCGAACCGGTCAATTGAAACCATAAAAGTTAAAAAATTTCATTAGTTTAGAGTAATATCTTGTGCTTGAACGAACGATTTAAAAATTTTTTATTTTTTTTATGCATACGGGAACGTTTTATGCTAAAAATGAGCTTTTTGGTCTCTAGAAATTTCACTAAAAAATTAATTTCGGCGAAAAAAAATTTTTGCGTGAAAAGTCGATCGTTCAAGCACAAGACAATTTCATTACGAACATTTAAAAAAAAATTTGAAGTAAATCGGCTTAGTAGTTTTCCGCCAATCGTTATCACCGCAAAGTCATTTTTCAAGAAACACCATTTCGAGATATTCGCGTTTAAAGTTTCAAGTTCCAGTTCTAGCCGCTACGAGGCGCGCGGTTAGGAGCGCTGTAACTTTTTTCTACTGCTCAAATCTCTATGAAAATTTGGGAAAATATTCTCAAAGAGTGGTTCTTTAAGATAAAACAATAAAAAAAATTTCGATTTTTTGAAAATAAAAAAGGTATATAACCCCTTAAATGTTTGCTTTTTTCCCAAAAATTAGCACAATTTCAAAAACGTTGTAGTTTGACTATATATTGAATGCCAAACAACTACTAGATTTTTAAGTTTTTGAAATAGAATTTCCAA